TTCAAGAGGTGCGATGAGCCATATACTTCTCTTTTCATAAACAACGGACGTGTTCATTATCTAAGGCAATCATTCTCGCTTCAATGCACTTTCGCTCATTTTCTCAAAAAAAAAAAAAAAAAAAAAAAAAAAAATATATATATAAGAACTTCATAACTTTTATTAGCAAATTCTTTTTCCTTTTTAAGAAAAATCAGACGGACAGTCAAAACAAAAGTTAGTATAACAAATAACACAGCCACACAAAAAAAAAAGTTTTGATCTGGGGATCTGACTATGCCTACTTTATGTTTTTTGGGTCGCTGAATCCGAATTAGAGGTCCATTTTACCCCATCAGATCAGGATTTTGAGATAACCTTAAAAAACCAATATGGCGGACACTTTTTCGAAAAATTCATCGGATTTGTCTGAAACTCTTTATTCGGGGGTTTTTAGGGTCGCTGATCACGAATCTGATGTCAGTTTTCAAAAATTCAAAATGGCGGATCCAAAATGGCTGACACATTTTCAGAAAATTCATCGGATTTACCGGAAACTCGTTACACGGGGGTTTTTGGGGTCACTGATCACGAATCTGATGTCAGTTTTTAAAAATTCAAAATGGCGGACACTTTTTCGAAAAATTCATCGGAATCGCCTGAAACTCGTTACTCGGGGGTTTTCGGAGTCGCTGATTACGAATTTGAAGTCAGTTTTCAAAAATTCAAGATGGCATCGTAAAAAATTTCTTAAGTGTATCTGCCATGACGGCATTTTTCAAAAAAGTGTCCGCCATCTTGAATTTTGGAAAACAAAGTTCAAATTCGTAATCAGCGACTCCGAAAACTCCCAAGTAACGAATTTTATGCGATTCCGATGAATTTTTCGAAAATGTGTCCGCCATTTTGAATTTTTGCAAACTGACATCAGATCAGCGACCCCAAAAATCCCCGAGTAACGAGTTTCAGGTAAATTCGATGAATTTTTTGATAATGTGTCAGCCATTTTGGATCCGTCATTTTGAACTTTGAAAAACTGACATTAGATTCGTGATCAGCGACCCCAAAAACCCCCGAATAAAGAGTTTCAGACAAATCCGATGAATTTTTCGAAAAAGTGTCCGCCATATTGGTTTTTTGAGGTTATCTAAAAATCCTGATCTGATGGGGTAAAACGGACCTCGAATTCGGATTCAGACCCAAAAAAACATAAAGTAGGCATAGTCAGACTCCCGGATCAAAGCTTTTTTCTGTGGCTGTGTAATTATCAAATTTTAGGTTGTTTAACCTAAATCATTGTCTATTGTCGGAAAATTGTAATTTTTTATCAATTTGATTTAAATAAAAATTTTATAATATTTATGATAAATAAAATTTTTATTAACGCCAAATAAATGGGCGAGTAGGCTCTTAGACAAATATAAGTTTATTTAACTCAAATATATTATTTATTATTATTACTTTCATTATTTAAATCAGTCACAATTTAAAATTATCTAAGGAAAAAAAAATTAATATTCATATATATGTTACATAAAGTGATATATTTAATTAATTTAAAGTGATTTGTTTTTTTTTATCAGATCTTCTTTATACGAATTAAATTATAATTAATGTTTGGTATTATAATTTTTTTTCCATATATTATAAAATAATGTATTCGACTAATTATGGGAGGGCTAAAATGTTTCTGGTTGCAGAAGACTTGTCATACAGGATCTCTTAAGGTTTACCATCCTATTACTATGTAGTCAATAATAAATTACTGATTTAGCAACCGTATTTGAGCAATCGTTTATGAGAGAAGATAACTTTATTCCCATAGGAAAATTCTCTTTAATTTACTAAAAGGAATTACACACTATATTATACAATGCTTGTTGTTTTTAAATTGAATTTTTGTTTCCAAATCATATTTGAAATTATAACTAAAACAAAACTTATTTAATGTATAGATATAATGTTTTTAGAATTTATAAATTAAATTGTTTTTCCTTTAATTTTATAAAAATTTAAAAAAAAATATAACAAATTAAAAATAAGAAACTTTTTTTACGTTGAAATAAATTTATTTATAAAAATTATATTTGGTCCAAATAAATATTTATTTGATAGTAGTCAAGTAACCGATTATTTGAACCAAAAAAAAAATTACACCCAGAGAAATAATATTTTTCTCTCAGAGCCAAATAAATTTTATTTGATTTAAATGAAAATTTTATTCGTGACAAATAAAAAAGTTATTTTTAAATTTTACATTTAAAAAATCTAAAAGAAAAAGAAAATATTTCATTTTTATATAGAGAAATAGAAATGTTTAAACTTGTAACTAGTATTTCAGATTTGTCACAGGAAAAAAGAAAAGCGTTATTGTAACACCAAAAATGGTGTTAAAACAACATGCAACTCTTAAAGTTGAAGGCGTCACTCTGCCTGTGATTTGATTTAAAATAACACGCAACAAAAACTATACTTCCTTTTTTTCTGTATGGAAATCTCTCGAAAAAATCTAATTTATAAACAAAAAATTTATCAAACAATCTTCAAGGGAAAAATTTGCATCAACACTCTTATGTAACAATTTATCAAATAAAATCCAAAATTTGTAGAAAATTTCGAAATAAAAATGGAATAGTATAATAAAAAAATTCCTCAATATAAAGGGTCGAGTGAAAATGAAAGTAAGAGGAAAAGTGATTTTTTTTATATAGAAGGCCTCTGTAAAAAAAAAGGAGAGAGAAAAATAACACGTTCAACATTCTGGAAGAATCAAGAAGCCGAATAATGTGGTTACTCAGCGATTTCCTTTATCTCTTGAAGAGAATGTGCGGATTCAATATGTGGAAAAGATAATTTTTTTTTATTCATTTAACTATATATGTACGTATATCGGTTTTATATACATGAGTACCCTGTCATTTTCGCGTATATACTGATTTGTATTAATGCAGCAGAATATAGTGTCCTCGACCTAGAAATCACGTTCTCGTCATATTCGAGTTCGCAATATAACGTAATGGGTCAGGACCTCTCACAAGTGTACGTATGTATAAGATGACGTTTTTGCCTGAGACCATCACTAATTTGACACTCCTGCGCGTGAGAGACGAGCCTATAATACGCTCCAATTATCCCGCAACGTTTAATTGAATATAATTTATATGTTAATTTTATGTTCATTTTCTAATGTGCCGCGCGCTTCTAACGAATTCTTAATTTTTTCTTTCTTATACGGAGCCCAACATTCTACACTAGTTACATAATTAAGATTAAAGATGAGTAAATAAATATATAAATGAAGGACATTGGAGTGGCATCCTGTTTCTGTCATTATATTCAGGAATTTATGATTCTTATTTCTTGATATTTTTTTTTCGATAAATAAACTTCGAATTTACAACAGGTCAACGACTTGTAAATCGCATTTAATTTATGAAAATTAGAATTTAATTTATACAAAATAAAACTATAAATAGCTCAGCTAATTAATTATAATTATGTATTATTGATTGATTAATTATTATAACACAATTATTACATTAAAATCAACCAAATAGCACGTAAGCTTGCGGCAACCTTGCGGCAACCTTGCCGCGCAATATTGCCAACCAATCACGGAAAACTTGCCGCAAACTTACTGCAAGCTTCAAATGTCCCCCTTGACCGAAAAATTGCAATGTAAGGTTACTGCAAGATTGCACAATAAGATTATTGCAAGATTGCTCAGTAAGCTTGCGCGGTAAGCTTGCAGCTAGGTTAGTTCAAGGTTGCCAAATAACATTGCTTTGAACCTAAAAAGTTTCGTTTAATTTATATAATAAAATTTACATATGTAGATGGATGAAAAATTAACAAAATGGTAGAAACATTTGAAAAATAAAAATATAATCAATTACCGACCTAGGAATCTACCTTACCGACTGATGGTAAAGATTTTTTGGAAAATGCTAATATACAAAAATTACCGACATAGAAATCTACCTTACCGACTGATGGTAAAGAATTTTTTGGAAAATGTTAATATAAAAATGTACCAACATAGAAATCTACCTTACCAACTGATGGTAAACAGTTTTTTGAAGAATCAAAATATAAAAATTACCGACACAAAAATCTACCTTACCGACTGATGGTAATTACCTATTAATGGTAAAACAGATTTGAAAAGTTGGTATAATTTCAAAAAAAAATTTTTCACCATCAATCGGTAAGGTAGATTTCTCTATAGGTAATTTTTATTTTTTCACTTTCCAAAAAACTGTTTTACCATCAGCCGGTAAGGTAGATTTATGTGTCAGTAATTTTTATATTTTTAAAAAATCTGTTTTACTATCAGTCGGTAAGGTAGATTTCTATGTCGGTAATTTTTATATTTTCATTTTTCACAAAAAAATTTCTTTACCGTCAGTTGGTAAGGTAGATTTCTGTGTTGGTTAGAAAAATAAAAATTCGTTTAAAAAATAAATATATTTAATAAAATTCTTGAAAATGAAAATTCTAAAAAATAATTTTTATAATATAATCATTTTTTTACACACAAAAAAATGTCTTTGAAATAAAAACAAAAAAAGCTCTAAAAAAAAGTATCTGCTATTCAAAACCACAGGATCTAATATCAAATAATAAAGGAATATCGCCAACGGCAAATCACGAAACACATATTCATCTGAAAACACCTTGAGGGTCGATGAGCAACACACATTACCTCGTCTTTTTATTATAAAAAGAAAAAAAAATGGAAAGAAAAAAAATGTGCAAGATCGTGACGCTCCTTATGAAGGAATATTAATAATAAAAAGAACAATAACATTACGGCGACAATATCCAGGGTCAAACATCGTAGCGCATCTTCATCTGGACTTGAATATATTGTATTTTGTCTCTCCATCCTTATGTTTATGACTCCCCCACTAATGTCCCCTCTGCAACGTTCACCAGGATCCCTACTGGGTATATCGATATAGTGGCATCCTCTGCACTCGACAGGGACTTTCTCCAAAAGACGGTCAACTATATATAAGCAAGATCCACTATGTTTGAAGCACGTTAGACAAATTCGTAGTCGAGCAACGCGCGGGCATCGTTGCCTCGTTTTTGTCTTATCACTTTTTTTTTTTTAAACAAACCCTTCTTTCGCGTCTTTTTTATTTTGTTATCGTGATTACACTGCTGCTTCTTACGGGAAGCATAAAAAGTTTTTTTGTGACGTTTGCATTTTGAAAAAAAAAAATTAGTTTCGGATTTTTCATTCAGCAAAAAATATGAAATTTACAAGGAGATGGCCAACATTGGCCGCAACAATAGTTGCCCTACTCTTGCCTTTAATGAGTGCAGAACGTAAGGATTCAATTTTTTTTTCTACTTTGTGCTTTACGAAATTTGAGAAATGAACAAAAAAAAAAAATGGAACTAGAAAAATAGTTAACTTTTCCTCGAATGGAAATTTGTTTTTTAGGCGCTAAAGTGCGTTTTTGTGTACAAAGTTTCTATTGAAAATTACAAGTGGTTGGTACTCGAATTTTTACATGTGCACACTGAAATAAATACTGGTTTTACAAAGTTTTAATATAATAAAAAAGGGGCTTAAATTATTCAAAAAAAAAAATAAAATAAACATAAAAAATTAAATTAAACATAAATATATTAGAAATATAAGAGAAATTTTTTATTTATTATAAAATTATTTTATGTAAAAATATCAAATTATTATTAATAATAATTGATATTGTCAATAAGTTAGAGAAATTATACAAAAATTCACTTTCAACAGTATTTTTTTCTCATAGTGTAAAAAAGAAATAATTTTTTTAGTAAAACACATTAACGTAATTGTAAAAATAAAATAAAAATTATGTTCAATATTAAATAAGAAAAAAAGTGATTTGAAATTAACATAAATCTATCAATAAATCAACAGCAAATGGTAATTAACTGTAATTAGTAAGAAAACTCAAACATTGATTGTCAATCAAATGACTAATTTCACATATTTAACAGAGAATAATTTAGAATTTACAAATTTTTTTAATTAGTCTTTTACTAATGGAATAATTCCAACTTTCATTTATAAACATTTTTCCAATTAAATAATTAAAATTGTTAAAATTTTGCCACTTGTAATTCAAAATTTTGTAAATAAAAATGATGAAATCAAAAATAATAATTTTTATAATTAATTATTAGTATATAATATAATAATAATTATAATTCATCATAAATGAAAATTGTAAATAAAAAATATTTGGTTATGCCAGCATAAAAAAAATATATCGGATTTTAAAGATGTGAATTTCTCAAATTTCTATAATCTATGAGGCATTTTTCAACATAACAAAAATTTACCTTTTCACATCAATTCCAAAAAAAATTTAATTTTTAACTAAGACATTTATAAAATAAATATGTAATTTATTTTAATCGCAATATTCTAGATAAACACATAATATCATTTTACACCCCATTTCACTTTTTTTATTGCAAATTACCAAGAAGTAAATATTTTTATAGATAAGAATAAAAAATATGTTATCAAACAAAAAATCATAATATAAAAATATTACGAAATAATTTTCCATAAACTATATTGTAACAGCCTTATAAGAAAGAAAAAATCTCTTAAAAACAAATTTTCACAACAAAACGACGCAGTTAATCTGAAAAAATTACATTTCTCATTTTATAAATGTTAATAATTTTATTCGAAAGTTAACATAAACGGAAAAAGTGACATAAAATTTTCATTCCCTATTATAAATATAGAGAAAAAAACAATGTTAAGAGATGAATATAAAGAATTATGGAATCAGTTTTGTAAAATCATTATCTCTTGACAATATGATGATAATTTGTCAAGATAAAAGAGAATAGTGACAGTCTTTAGTAACTCTAAGGTGCAATAATAATAAATATCGAATTGTATAAGATCACTCACTGAGAGGGAGAGAGAGAGAGAGAAAAAAAAAGTGAGGTTACTGTAGGCAACAATAAATTTACCATAAATTAACCGCTCTTTTTACTTTCATTAGTGATTCTCGACATGCGAAATGTTCGTGCATCTTTTTTGTAAAGAAATTCTCGAATGGTTTATGGAACTGAACCAAATGTAAACACTTTGCCAACTTTCTGTTTATATTTATAGTATTAACCTTAAATTTCATCCCAATTAAAATGAGATTAATATAATTTATTTAAATAATAAATTATTTTTATCTTCATTATTTTATGATAAAATTTTATACTTTAATTATTTATTGGAAGAATAACTTTTGGGTTAATTTTTGTTTTCTGCCATATTAATAATTTTAAAATAATAATTTTTAATAACTTTTAATAAAAAATTACACAGAATAAAAATAATGAAATTTATATTTAAAAAAACAATATTTAAAAATTTATTTTAATTTCTCTTCAAATTTAATTAGAGAAATCATCCTTTATTATATTTTAGTGTAAAACAAAATAAATAAACAAAAATCATATTATAAAGAAAGATAAAAATGATTTTTTCTATGAGGATAATATAACTGTGTCAGTCAAAAATTGATGCGGAAGAAAAAACGAAATGATTTGTTATGAAATTTAAATGATGCAATAAATAATAATTGAAATCGAAAGCATCTTATTTTGACTATAGAGGAAGAAGAAATGATTATTATATAGAGAGATAGCTCATTGATGAAAACTGAAAAAACATCTCTCAGCCGCCGGCGGAACTGTCTATACAAAGTCGTTAACCAGTGAGACACACTTGATCTCACGGATCTCCCACACTTTCACCATCAGATGAAGCATCGCGACATTAAAAAAAAAAGAGGGAAATATACTTTAAACGTGTCTGTTTACCGCAAAGAATAAAAATAAAAAAATACATTCAACTTGAATTTATTGAGTTTTCGCAAAAACCGGAAGTGTCAAAAGTTTAAAAATTATTATATTATACAAATTACTGTCTATAAAAATCATATTATATATACACTGAAAAAAAAAAATTTATTTGATTCAAATAATCGGTTACTTGACTATTATCAAATAAATATTTATTTAAACTAAATAATTATTATTTTATAGAAATAAATATTATAAATGTAATTAAAAATATTATAATATAAATTTTATTATAAACATTATATTATTATAAATATTATTATATTATTATTAATATTTAAATAAATATTCATTTGATATGGTCAAGTAACCGTTTAATTGTATCAAATAAATTTTTTTTCAGTCCCAAATCTTTGTATAAATATTTATTTATATAATATTAAAGAAAAGAATTTTTAAACTTTTGATATTAATTGATTTTTTATTAATAAATTTCAAATATATATAATTAGGAAGATCGTTTCAAGGTTCTTGAACTTTTATTATATATTAACAGATAGGACAGATTATTACTAAACATCCAATTTAGAAACTAAAAACATTTTAAAAGATAAAAGTCATGACAACAAAGAGAAGTTGTAACTTAACAGAAATTATCTATTTTTTTTTTTTTTTTATTAAAAAAACAAATTCCCAAGTGAAAACAACAGCTGATGTAAGAATTTCTTAACTTATAAATATTTAAATATATTAGTCAAACGGAGTGAAAAAAATTCAAACAAATTGAATAGTCTATTGTTAATTTTGAAAATATGCAACAAAATAAATCAGCGAAGAAAAGTTTTCAAAAAAATTAGATTCTATCTCAAAACCTTGGTTACAATTATCATAAGATGATTCCAATTTTCCACTCTAGTACCATGTATAAATAATGAAGAACAATGTAATTTCACTTATCTTTGTTTCTCTCTCTCTTTTTCTCATAATGGCAATAAGTGGTTTCTTTTAATCTTTATAGTTCTATGCATATTCATGGAGATTGTGCAAGAAATTATAAATAATAGGAATATATTTAAAGGGGCAAGTAACAAGCAAAAAAACGACTTGTAAATAAAAATTTTAAATAATTGTCTTTCTGAATTTTCTTATAACAAGAAAAATTGTCAAAGAGAAAGTATCTAAAACGCGTCTCCATTGTTGACTAATTTTTTTTTCTCGAATATTACGAAAATATTTTCAGATGTTTATCATACATGAAATCCTGTTCTCGACAATATATTAATTATATAAAAATTATTAATAAAATTTAAGGAAATATTAAATTTATTATTTTTATGAAATATTAAATTTTTTATTTTTATGAAATATTAAATTTTTATAATTAAAATAATAATCTTATTTTTATGAAATATTAATTAAGAAATAACTAATTTTTATTTTTAAAATTATTTTTTAAAATAATTTGTTTGGTTTCTGTATAGCATATTCCTTTTTTTATTCGGAGACTTAATTTGTGGTTTTTTTTCGGACAAAAATATTGAATGTCCTTTAATTAAATTAAAAAGAAATGTATAAAAAATGGGAATGGTATTTTGAATTTTAGCACCAGTATCAGGAAGCTATCTTCCACCGTCAACAAGTTACGGAACGCCAAATCTTGGAGGTGGTGGTTTCGGAGGCGGTGGTGGTAGTTTTGGAGGTGGAGGTAGTTTCGGAGGTGGAGCACCTTCCTCCAGTTATGGAGCGCCATCAGGCGGAGGCGGAAGCTTTGGTGGTGGTGGTAGTTTCGGAGGCGGTAGTTTTGGAGGTGGAGCACCTTCATCAAGTTATGGAGCACCCTCAAGACCCTCATCCAATTATGGAGCACCACCATCCAGGTAGTTTTTTTAAAAATTTCTAAACCTGATTATTTTTTTTATTATTTTATTTATCTATTATTTATTTATTATTTATTTATATATTTATTATTTTATTTATTATCTATTTCCTCTAGACCTTCGTCAAATTATGGAGCACCGTCTTCAGGAGGTTCGGGAATAGGTGGTGGATTTGGTGGTGGACATGGAGGTAGTTTTGGTGGTAGTTTCGGAGGTGGACAAGGAGGAAGTTTTGGAGGTAGCTTTGGAGGTGGACATGGAGGAGGTTTTGGAGGTGGTGCACCTTCGAGACCTTCGGGAAGCTATGGACCACCACCTTCGAGGCCCTCGGGAAGCTATGGACCACCACCATCGAGACCTTCGGGAAGTTATGGACCACCACCTTCGAGACCTTCGGGAAGTTATGGTCCTCCACCTTCTAAACCATCTGGAAGTTATGGACCACCACCTTCGAGACCTTCGGGTAGCTATGGACCACCACCTTCAAGACCTTCGGGTAGTTATGGACCACCGTCGGGAGGCTCAGGATTTGGAGGTGGTTTTGGAGGTGGACAAGGTGGTAGTTTCGGAGGTAGCTTTGGAGGTGGACACGGAGGAAGTTTCGGAGGTGGTGCACCATCAAGACCTTCAGGAAGCTATGGAGCACCTCCTTCTAGACCTTCTGGAAGTTATGGAGCGCCATCAGCTGGAGGCAGTGGTGGATTTGGAGGCGGTGGTTTCGGAGGCAGTGCTCCATCATCCAGCTATGGTGCACCATCAGTACCATCTTCCAATTACGGTGCACCTTCCTCCGGAAGTGGATTCGGTGGAGGATCAGGATTCGGAGGAGGGTAAGAATTTAACCAACCACTCAAATCCGTAACATATTTTTAAATAATTTTTTAATCCTAATTTTCGTTTTCTTTTAGCTCTGGTGGTTATTCCGGTAGTGCACCATCAAGCAGTTACGGTGCACCCAGTGCGGGTGGAAGTAGCGGAGGTCAAAGTTACGCCAGTAATGGAGGTTATCAATACTAAATATATTTCGTGAATGTTGAATCAAAATCTGGTCACTTCGAACTTTATCAAGGACGTTTATCACTGCCACTATAAATATAAATCGTTTGTTCATTTGAAAATTCATTACTCAATCAACTCAATGAAAAAAAAAACTCGAGTTGCCATAATGATTTAGTATCGTTAAAGAAATAAAAAAAAAAAAAAGTCGATTGACCATCGAACATAAAAGAAGACGTCCAAAGAAAAAGAAAACCAATTGGAATCTTATCAGAAATTTGTATTCAAGTTCCTCAAGTGGATTTGAATGGAAAAAAAAAGAAATTTTTGTCGAAGACGAAAGCGGTTTTTTTTAAATGAAGGAAAAGAAAATGACTTTTCCTTCAGCACTTGTAATTTATTTATTTTGTAAAAAAAAAAATGCTTTTTGTACTAATAAAATTGCTACGCTGAAAATATTTTTCATTCATTTATACTTGTAAATATATATTTGTTAAATTAATTTGAAAATTATTTTTTAAAAAGTGGTATATACTATAAATAATATAAAATATGGTGTATAACGTGAAAGTCAAAACAGATGAGCGATAGGCAAATTAGACAAACGTCAGGAATATAAATATTATATATTTCCTTATGTTTGCTTTATTAACTTCCACCCACTTTCTAATCCTAATTAGTTTTTGCATTTTTTATATTTTCTTTGCCTTACTTTTACCTATTAATTAATTTTAACTAAATTTTTAAAATTAATTTTTATTAAATTATTCCATATTTTAGTAAACTGTCAATGTTTTTTATTATGGATAACAGATTTTCTGATTGATATACATTAGAATTGACAATGAAAATTTAATACCAAACTTGAATATCATTAGTAAATTATTAATAAAATTTGATAATGATTTTTTAATGTAAAATAAGTTGAATCTGACGTAAGTTCAGTTTTGATGGTGTTAGCATCAGACGGTCGATTTATCGATTCGAACGAGTCGGATACCAGGACTGCATGAATAACCAAGAGGTCTTTCTATTCCTATTTGTAACCAAACTTAAATATCCACCAATATTATTGATAAATATTGTTAACTTCTTTTTTTTTGTGGAAAAACTGAAAAAAAAAATTCCCAACCCTAATTGCCACTACTATCCAACAACAAAATCTAAATTTTCTTACCTATGGATGATGATTTCTCTAGAATGAAATTTGAAATTCCGATCTTGAATATACCTATAATACGTGAATAAAATAACTGAAAACACCTAATAAGGAAGAAACAAAACAAAAGTAGAAGAAAAAAAAGTGTAACTTTCACACACATTTAAATTTTATATCATTCAACGAATAATTCAAGAAACTACTCCTTAAATCTGAAACGATTTTCAACTATCTGATAACTTTTTTCGAATTTTGAAAAATGACAATTTTGAAATAATTTTCCATTTTTGTTATTTCAAAGCATAAATTTTATTTCATTTAAAAATTTTTAATAATTCAATTTCAGATTCGCAGAGTACTGTATATGTAAAAGTCACTCCAAAATATAAAATTAAAAATTTTAATAATAAAGGGAAGAGAATTTCTTTATTTTTTTTTATACACCGTTTATTTTTAACATTTACAATCAACATCTCGGTCATTTACGCAATTATACACGTATAATATATTTATGTATATTATTTATATCATATGGTACAATACACTGAGTAACTTATTTCATTAATAAGTATACTTCTTTGGGGTAAATCGAGCCTTTATACATGATCGATGATAAACAATGTTAAAACACTTTTGTCTAAAGGTAGATACCTCGAGTTTGAGGCATAACGTTTAGGTACGTTTAGTTACACAGCTGGATCGCATTAATTTGTTAATATATATATATTATTTAAATAATAATTTATTAGTTACTTTCTTTATAGTGTCAAGCACGGTGTCACCCTGGCGAATTCAAGTAGAGGTTCAAGGTTTCTCGTTACCTTCCACTCTAGTCAATTCTATTCGGCGTGGACAGCCTTTCACTTTTCCTTTTTTTTTTTTTTCTTATAAACCTCTTCGTTATTGAACCCGTAACCTTCTTCTAAAGAAATGTTAATTCGAGGCATCCCTTTTGTTTTATATTCTTTTTTTTTCGCGAACAAGTATCATCTAAAATCTTTGTCCCGCATATCTTTGTCTTTTATCCTTTGACTTATTTATCTTTCTCTCATTCTCTCACTCATTTATACACTCTTTTCTTATTCTCTCCCTCTCTCTCATTCTTGAACTTATGGTAGTGATGATAGAGCACATTTTGATATGTATAGGTTTCTCGACACATCGTTTATTATATTATGAATTAATTGATATGTAGGTGATGAGGCGTCTCAAGGTCGCCTCTTTACTCTCCCTCTCTTTCACGCTTTCCATCACGCACCCCAGCTGCTCTAATCTTTCTCATTATTTGAAATCTAATGCTTTCTTTTCAAAACCTATATTTATTGTATACACTTTTCTCTCGAAACGTTTCTTTTATTTTTTTGACTTCATTTTTTTAAAACTGCCACGAGAAAGACGATTACCAAAAAAAATTTTCATTGAAAATTATTTTTTTTTTTCTAAAATTGACAAATATTAAAAATTTTTATATTTTAAGAATGTATCTCATTGGATATCTAAATAATTAGGATTTATTCTTTATTTCAAAATTATTACAAAAAAAATTTTTGAAAAATTAATAATATAATAAATTTTAAAAAAATTACATATTGACAATTTCACAGAAAATTAAAAGGCATTAAAATAAGCTGCAACGCTTATTATTTTAATCCAATTTTGCTTATTTTAATCCATTTTGGTATTAAAATAAGCAAAATTGGATTCAAATAATAAGCGTTGCAGCTTATTTTAATGCCTTTTAATTTTCTGTGTTAGTTGAATTTTTGAATTTAAAATTTTTCGATAAACTTAATTTAGAATTCATTTAATCGTTAGTTATACAAAACAATTTTTTGCAATCCTTATTGAATTTTTGTTTATTGTAATTTTTATGTATTATAATTAATGCAATTAATTATTAATGTATTGTAATTTTTATTTTTTTTTTAATTTTATAATAAAAAAAACTTTTTTAACCCAATTCAAAAATTAACTTTTTTTTTAGAAAAAATGAGATTATTATTGATTCCATGAAGCTTTCGGTTTGAAATTGCGATATTTAAACCGTGAATATTATAATCGTATCACTTTCTTATCTCTGTCGTTTCTAATAGCCTCGGGTATATTGAAGACACGTCTTATGCATTTTTTTTTTTTTGGCCGTTATTCCCAAAGTGAAAGTATCCGACTTTAATATAAATGAAGATATATAACAGCGGGAAACCGGAAGATTCTTCTCTATTACACGATTCCCTTTACTTGTTACTAAAGTTCACAACTAAATTTTTTTTTAAATAACCAGAACAATATTACTTCCGGAATTTTGATTTACTTACGAAATTTGACAATGAAATATGTATAAAATAGAATAAAAATAGAAAACATTAATAAATTGTAGATGAATTATTATTTACAACGAATAATAAATTATTTTTATATAACAAATAATAATTGTTTGAATACTCAATATTTAATTATTTATATATTCAACATATTAATCGTTTAAATAATCATTAGTTATTAATTATAAATTATTAATTATTAATTATTAATTATTAATTGTTAATTATTTTAATTATTTACATATTGCAATCAATAATTATTTTAAAATTCAATATTATTTAATATTCTATTTTCAATTATTTAACAATGAATCTATATTTAATTAAATATTAATATTAAATTATTAACATCCTATTATTAAATTATTTAATTTCCCTAGTGCAGTAAATAAAAACCAGTGAATTTTTTAAAAGTAAATAAATAAAAGCCTAATGGAACCAATTAATAATCTCGATATAAGAAAATTTTACAAGAATTTTTTTTTCGAAATCATGAAAAAAATTCCAAGAAAGCATGTAAAATTTTTTTTGCAAAAACCAAATAACGATAAATGTAAATTGAATTTTCTCATTATATCTAAATATATATATATATTTTCCTTATATTTTGAACGAATTTCACCTAAAGTGTGTGTCCCTTTATATAACAATCTAAATAAAACTTGTTATTTTTTTTTTTTTTGCGATCAAAATAAGACAAAAGCAGAACAACACTATTTCTAATCGTTATAATTCGTTACCGCGAATGAATTAAAAACACAAAAAAAAGAAGTTTGCGCAACAACTACTAGAGCAGCGATGATAATAAATACAATATACATATGTGATATGTATACATGTTGTATATATATATATGTATATAAATGTATATAATAACTGTACAGTATCAACGGTAACGTCGATAATGATGGTAATAAATAACAATGATATAGCGAATCGTTTAATATATATTATACGAATGTGAAAGTAAACGTTTGTTTAACTTAAATATATACGTATATATTGCACCCTCTAAAACATTGTACGTCGTCGTTCTTTATAAGTCTTCTCATGGATATGTATAATTAATTTTTTTTTATATAGATATGTATATATATACTTCCATACTTTGATCCACGTTGATCGATCTATATATATTAAATTCTCTCGCTTATTTTCTTTTTTGTTTTGCAATTATGTTCGCGATATAATGTATGCTTTATATTATATATGTATGTATATACTATATGATAAACACAACGGATTTACACGACGGCCGATCCACATGGCGCTTTGGCGGTTTTATTGTGGCAGAGATTGATGCACTCAAGTGCTTATAGATACGTCTAAAGAACTCCTAATGAGCATACTCAAAACTCCTCTACAAACCACTTTCAATTAACTAGCGTAAAACTAGGGTTTTCCGCATCGTTCGACATCTCGATTTTTTTTTTTTTGTTGCTATTTTCAGAACGAGCGGCTATTGAAAATAAGAGTCGTTGCTCAATTTCTTTTTTCTATTTATAACCTTTTTATTTGATAAAGAAAAAAAATTCGAAATATTTAGGAAATAATAAAAAAAGGGGATTATAATAAAAGAAACAACTGTTTTTTTTAACACGCAACGACCCTATGAAGAGTTAATTTCTGAAAGACATATTTAATTATGTCGTTGGGCGAAGCGAAGGGAATATAATCGATAGCAAGTACAAAAGCTTTCTCTAACATCAATGGAGATAATTACACACCTTCGGCATAAACGACAAATTCTAATCATAATCAGCACAGTCAGATATATATATATTTATATTTGAAGAAAGGCCGTCCATTACGACCACCCTGAGGACCGCACTTTGTGGTTTCTAAACTAAAGCCGCTCGTTCTTTCATTAACATTATATCGTATCCACAATATCAATATTTATTTTACCTCTCTACTGGAGAAATACTTTCACTTTTTTTTCAATAATGTTTCAACTCTTCATAATAAATATCTTATTTCTACATTGAACAATAAATGTAGATTCGAAGAATGCAAATATTGAATTCATCCAACAAGAATTATTTTATTAGTTGACATATATATCTTATAATAAATTTTTATATTATTTTTTCGATAGAATATATATATTTAGGTACTATACATCAACAGGAAGTGAAAATTATTTCTCCAAAAGAGATTAAATTCTCCCAAAAAAAAAATAAAAATATTTGATTTTAATATCACGAAATGTCGATATATCGCCAAGTGGTTCGGCCATTTAAATTTAAACTCCTCGCAAGCAGTTGGTAGACTCTAAATATATATATTATTAGAATATAATTTTATATATATATCTCAAAAGAAAAACAAGATAATCACTAGGCCTAAGAGGTGACGCGGTGGTTGTGAATATTTCATCCCTCATTTTAAAGAGGCTTCGAGTCTATTAATTCCCGCATATATATATATTTATATTAATTCTTTATTTGAAAATATTTTACTAGAGGTCAATTTTAAAATCGTTCACTATTAAAATAAGTTTCATTTAAAAAAAAAAGACTGGAATTTTGACTGGAAACTTCTCAAATGACAGATGATTAGAATATATTAAAAAGTAATTTGAATTAAATTAAATTAAACACTGGAAAATTAATAATTTTGAAATTAAGCAACAAACAACAAATATTATTTTTCACATCAAGAGATTGCGTTTATAAATGAGTGCTTAAAATTTCAAAAATATTTCCCTCCCAATGGTTCAAAAAAAAAAACAAATTTTAATTAAAAATAGATAAAAATTAAAATCAGAAAAAACAAATTCCAAAATGAAGCATCGAACGAGCAAAAAATTCGAAAAAGAATCATCGATAGAAAAAATTTGAGACTTACAGCATGGATATCGCTATCTGAAAATCTCACACCTCTTGGTAAGGAGCTTATCAGCTCCCCCATTTGGCAATTTCCGATAAGAAAATTTGTTTCGATTGCAATAAATCAATGCGATAAGCCTCAGAGTGATTTTGATCATAATATAAAAAGCAGAAAACCAAGGCAAAAAATAAACTAAAGAAAATTAAAGAATGCATTAATATTATGGATGACATTTGAAAAGAAAACTAAAAGTGGAAAGACAAAAAGAGAGAAGGAAAAAGAAGACACCGCGTCACCGGACTTATTGTTGGTCACAGCATCCGATCACGGAACTTGGGATTAGAACGCAGTACTAGATTGTGGCTGTCTGAGTCCGCTGGGTCCACGGGGTACCATATGTGCCCCAATGCCCCCACCACCCCCGCTGCCAATATTATCATCATCATCATTATCACTAGCACCAACGGCCCTGTATCCCGGCTCCATGTCGTAGTCCGGCTCGAGCGCTGGATTCACTCGTCCGTTCGATTCATCCTTGCTGCCATAAATTCTTCCTACACCCGCTGCAAGAACAGACATTTGTTCACCTTCAGCGGGATCAGGTCCCACTCGTTGTACATCCTCAGGAATGTTGACAACACATCTAAATATATCATAACCCGGAGCAAGTCTACCTGAGAGGAAGAGTACTTGGGTGCCATATGACACGCCAATTAATGTCACTAATGACATCAACATTGCCATTGTTCGAAAGGGAAATAGTTGAACTTTATTTTCTTCATCGTAGCCTGGATAGTAAATAACTGGCGAGAGTCCCAACATTTCTTCACCACCGCTGAGTCTTACCAAAAATGCTATGATATATGCTGATAAACTGCCATAGGTGTTACAGTAGTCTTTAAAATGTACAACCATCAGCAATTGAGGAAACAGTATTACATATACAAGGTCTGAGCACATTGACCATAAACCGTAGATTGATGGTATGGTTAAGGCCATCGCTGTGCTGAGGACTCCAACAACTAAAATTCCCACTCGCATCACCCAGATGATCTCCATTTCGGATGCCTAATCGAGAAATAGTTTTTTTTTCATTTCACAGGTATTCATCAGACGCATGAATAAGCACTGAAGCTAATTTTTTAGAATTATGATTTAATAGAATTTTATTCTGTAGAAACAAGTCTTACTACCATATATCAGTTAAATCTGCTAAGCAAAATCGTCTATTTTGAACTGACTAAACAGTCATTTAAATTGACTATTCTGTTTAGTAAAATGTAAGGCAGCATTTTGTCGGAAAAAAATAACCAACAGAAACGAAATTCACAAATCTGATTGGTCGTCCACAATCTGCTTAAGTGTAGACAACAACAACAACGTGTATTCTCTTTTAAAGAACTTTATTACAGTTTTCTTGTGTGTATCAAATTGATACAAGAATTAAGATCAACTCATGCAACGTTTTGATTCGATATAAGGTATCAAATTGAACCAAATATTTAAATCATTTTCAAGAAATGATCCAGAATATGGGATCATTTTTTAATACCTGAATTGGTATCAAAGTATAACTGTCATGGCTGGCATGCTCTTATTGACAAGTTTATTAATTAATTTATTCACTGCATTGAATATTCAGATATTAAAAATACTTTTATTGTGAATTTTAAGAAAGAGAGAAGCGAAAACTTATAAATTGCGAGCAATTAAATAAGAAAAAATTTATTTCGAAATAAAATGAAATACACTAACCTTTATTTATATTCATCATATAAGATTTAAGTTAAGTTCACAATCACAACACTTGAAAATTTATAATTATTTTTATGGTTCAAATAATTATCAATAATTTATTTATTATAAATGAACAAAATTTAAGCAATGCACGCTTGATAAATATTTCTAATGCGTTGTCAAAATTAATGCAATTGAGGGCCTGGAAAGCACAACCGACGAAGCGCTCGGACTCAGGCAGTGAGTAGTGGGGATATTGCCAGTTAGGACGCACTCACACCTCCGGCTGCCTGCACAGGCAGCCAGTGAGAGCCAATCAGAGAGTCAGTAGATCGAAATATGGCAATATCCCCACTACTCACTGCCTGAGTCCGAGCGCTTCGTCGGTTGTGCTTTCCAGGCCCTCAATTAATAATTTCCTATTACACAATATCATAATCGACATATATGACATTTGTAAACAAACAGGGTTGGGAAACAAGAGCCCAAAATATATTCGTTCAAAGCAAATTTCAATCCTACCCAACTCTGCTTTAGACGAATATATTTTGGGCTCTTGTTTCCCAACCCTGTTTGTTTACAAATGTCATATATGTCGATTATGATATTGTGTAATAGAAAATTATTAATTGCATTAATTGACAACGCATTAGAAATATTTATCAAGCGTGCATTACTTAAATTTTGTTCATTTATAATAAATAAATTATTGATAATTATTTGAACCACAAAAATAATTAAAAATTTTCAAGTCTTATGATTGTGAACTTAACTTAAATCTTATGTGATAAACATAAATAAAGGTTAGTGTATTTCATTTTATTTCGAAATAAATTTTTTCTTATTTAATTGCTCGCAATTTATAAGTTTTTGCTTCTCTCTTTCTTAAAATTCACAATAAAAGTATTTTTAATATCTGAATATTCAGTACAGTGAATAAATTAATTAATAAACTTGTCAATAAGAGCATGCCAGCCATGACAGTTATACTTTGATACCAATTCAGGTATCAAAAAATGATCCCATATTCTGGATCATTTCTTGAAAATGATTCAAATATTTGGATCAATTTGATACCTTATATCGAATCAAAACATTGCATTCCAAAATGATACCTTCAAGTTTACAGTGATTTCAAAAATAATATTCTACAGAATAAAATTCTATTAAAACATAATTCTAAAAAATTATTTTTAGTGCTTATTCATGCGTCTCGTATATATTCATAACAAAGATTAATGAGAGATTTTTCTCTACGGTTTCTGGAAATTTGGATATACAGACAAAAAAAAAGTCTCGTCTTAATGTGATCATTATTGTTCTAATTTAAAAAAACAAACAGAACTAGAAATCAGTTAAGTCCAAAGAGCCAAGATTCCTTTTATCAATAATCAAGATTAAGACTTTTCTTTTACTGTATGACACACTGGACACAAAAATCATAAAATAATTCGCGTTAAATTGGATTCTAATTTCAATCTTAACTGACCCGGTTCTATAATTCAAGAGCATAAAAAAACTGATTAAATTTTAATTTAACTGCTACATGACTGCAAACCACTTTCATTTTTAATCGAGACGCGTATCAAAAAAGGATTTCAAGTCTTTATAAAATTTCAAAGAATACCTCTTTCTCTTTTGTCCAATATTTACCGACATTGAGCGTTATTTTCCCACTAAAGTGGAATTTTTCTCATCAATATTTACATCTATCGATCGGAAATAAAAATAAAAATGATTGGAAATTTTGTCACACAGGAAAAATATGAATCCTCTTCTATAGAGAATTATAAAGAGGAATATTGAGAGAAGAATCATAATCATATATAGGGGGAAAAAAAATAGTTAAAAGACTCACTCTTTGTCGAAAAATCAGCTTGTAGACATTTCTTGCAAACATCGAGCTTGCTGATAAAATACTGCTGTCCGCTGAAGACATCACCGCTGCAGAAACAGCCCCCAAACCAAAGAACGAAACAAAGTCAGGTGTCAGGTACTGAAGGACCATTGGCAGGATCATACTTGTCTCAGATTCCGTCAAAGGATACGGTCCTTTATATCCCGTTTCATTCCAAGCTGAAATCAAAGAAGCATTCGAAACAAAATTTAAAACATCCATTTAGAGTAGATTTTTAATTATTTAACCAACAAATAACATTAAATGCATTTTCATGGCACCAAAAACAATCTATTTCTCTACCGTAGTTCATCAATTAGATTCTCCTTATTATTTACTTTATTGAATGAAAACTCGTAGATAAATCGAGCTTACAAAATAAAATATTTATAAAACGCGCACATAAAGTCCAGTAGTTTATATATTCTGACGAGAGACCCTTTTCGCGATGTTTATTGAATACGCCTGAATGAGAATTCATATAGAACATGACAATATAGTCTTGAATAAAACACATTTCTTTATACATTTATATTCCATTTATATTCCATATTTCGTCTAAATTCGATGCTAATATTTTGCAATTTAAAATTCTGGGATTCAGTCAAGTTTGAAATTTCGATACAAGTTTGGAATTAGTTCCAGAAGCATGACTATATATATACCTATATTTATGTTACACTGGAGAGTCGTATTTATCACCCTCACCTTTGATGCAAGTGTCCCACATGGTGTGATCTCACGATATTATATTTACGATGTCTACCCCATCTATTTTTGCTATGTCCACGTTCCTAAGTATTACCAGTAGCAAGTCCCCCTTTTTACCCATACCGATGTCAAGTAGCAGGGTCGCGGGTGAACCGAGTCTAATTTAATCCTCTTGGAAAACTGCGACCCCATATCAAAACAAAATTTTCACGCTAGGGAGAATAAAGAACATAGAGAGAAAACGAATCAACCGAATTCATATTTGGAAAATTCCATTTTTTATCATTTAAATATTTAATTTATGTTCTATATATGAATTCTTAGATAAACGCAGTTTTTTTTGAATAATTTATAAAATTACAATGAAATGGTAATACAGAAACTTGTGAAAATAACAAAAATGTAAAATGTGATATAAAGTTTAAGTAAAAGTGTAATATGAAACAAAATTAATACCCAAATCATGCAAAAAGAACATGCAATATGAAAAATAATCAATGACTTACGAGTTGATTTGGCGATGGCACCAATGAGAACAGGAGGTATTGCCATGAGAATGCATCCAAAGGCAGCCACATAACTTAGGATTTGTGCCCTGGCAGCACTTTTTGACGATAAGACCCTTTGAAAATACACCTGCCAGGGAATGCCTCCGAAGATAAGCAACAGCCCATAATCTGCATAGGACCAATATTCCTTCGGATCAACTCTACCTATCCAATCAACATCCATTGAACTCAATGGAAGCACTTTGGGATTTCCCCAAGCGAATGGAATGCACATCCACTGTAATCAGAAATTTAAAAACAAAAATTAAAACAATTTTATAAAATACTGTACAATAATAATTAATACCATGTAATTTTAATTAATACAAGTGCTAATCAGTAAAATTGCATCATCATTCAACTGACCAAAAATGAAAGGAATAAAATGAGAATGAAAAGAACTTTTATACAGATTGGTAAGATGGAATGAATGAATCAAGATAGGGGAGCTGTGACCTGTAAATGATAAGGCTGAAAGCTTTTGCATAAACCTCAATATTCGCTTTGGAATCTTTATATAAAGAAGACATTTATTGCACTTATTCATTTTGAACCCTAACGTTAGTAGATAACCAATCAAGATTTTACTATAAATAATATCTAAATCAGCTAATCTTTCGAGATTATGCAACACGGAGATTAAGCCAAAGTTATAATATGCAAATTTTTCGAATCCAATTATAAACCTCGTCCCTCTATAACCGTCACGGTATGTTTAATTTATACAGCGAATTTTGAATTCATTAAATATTTGATACATTAGATAATATATTTAGAAAAAAAGGAATGGTCAAAATACTTTTTTTTTGAATCTATTTAAAAACTCACCAGTCCAATGAAGATGCAGAATAGTTGGATGACATCCGTATAGGCGACGGAATAAAGGCCGCCAAATAATGTATAAAAAACGGCAATTCCTGCACTAACAATAACTGATGTTTTATGATCCATGTCAATGATCACTGCCAATGTGGCACCAAGTGCAGCAAGGATTCCAGCGGCCCAGAAAACCTCACCACAAAGGGCCGGAAGAAATAGAAGGCCACCCATTCGTTCTCCAAATGCGTCCTGGAGAGGATCCAACATTGTGATGTACCCCTGCTGTCGCATCTTATTGGCGAAGAATATTCCACCTGCAACCGAAAATAAATACTTTCTTTTAATTTTGAAATGAAAACTTAATGTTGCTCCTGATAAGGAACGTTGCTTAAAATATTAATAAACCAATACAGAAGTCAAACAAAAACCAAAAATTTTAAACATTAAAATCATAAAATATGAAGGAAAACTCACCGAAAATAAGACTGAGAGAATATCCGAAGGGAGCTTGGCACCAGATCAAACCTTTGGTGTAAATTGCCTCGGCAGTACCATTGATGTAACCACCGCCGACCCATGTTGCCGTCATGGTGAAAATTCCGACAAATAATCCAATCGAACGACCGGCCAACATAACCTCCTCCTCGGAGTCGTTGCCGGCCTCTTTTTTTCTGGCGGCCCATATTCCCACGCCGAGAATAAGGATGTAAAATAAAAGGATGGAAATGACCCCGGCAATGTTAATCATCTTCGGGGAAGAAAAGTCAACTGGCGTAAATTCGAGCTGACCAAGACGGAGATCCGAGAGGTTCGGTATGCGATCTGATTTGGGAACGTTTGGAAACCTATATATGAACAAAAAAATTACATCCCAAACTTATTACCCAGGGTTTCTTTTTCTTTTTTTTTCTTTTGATAGGAAAAATTCTATTTTTTATTTGAAAAATTAAATTTAAAAATTATGCAAATCTGTTATAAAAAGTAGTTGGTAGTCCCATAAGTCTTGGGAATAAAATGTCCAGAGTCTGAAAATGATATCACACTTCTGAATTACTTGAGGTAATTTACCACCTCAAGTTAGTTTAATTTCCCAATTAAACTAGGCTCTAACTTAATTAGAGGTTTGAGTTTATCTCAACAGCAGGATTCTGTGAATAATTATAGACACCGATCAATATGGAATTTTGTCTCTTGCAACACATAAAATGTATTGGAATCTGTTTTCTGATTAGATAATCACTTGACTTTGGTCAAACTGACCTGTTGGATAGTTTCGAGAAATGGATTCATACCCTCGTTATGTAGATTTGTGTGTGTTCCCTTTGTTGCATCATATCAAAGCAAAATTATCTCAACAATCTCTCTCTCTGCCTCTCTTGTTACATTATTGAAAAGCGTTCTTTGTAATAATGTAACAAGTTGTTGAGATAATTTGAAAAACAAAGTCTACTAATTTAATGCAGTTTATAATTTAATACAAAAAATTAAAGTAGGTTAATTAGAAAATATTTCGAACATCGTTATAATATTATATTCAAAATCCTTAACAGCAGTATACTATTAATTAAAAGATGTTTCTAATTATTAAATAATTATGCTTTTTTTTCTTCTTCTAATTTTCGAAAGACTTCTCATTTCATCCAATTTTATGTAATTCGAATTTTTAAATTGCCAAAAATAGCAATTCGCCGAATTTTAATTTGTCCGAAATTACAAATGGCCGAACAAACAATCGGCAGAAATATTTCGGCGTAATTTTCAAAATTAACTAATCTCTCTAAAACTGAATCAGTGAAATTTGACTGAGAATCAGTGGGTCTATTCTCGCGATTTCAATCAGTGAAATTTCACTGAAAATCAGTTAAAAATAACTGAAATATCAGTAATTTTTCACTGATTGTCCAGTTAAAAAATAACTGAAATTTTCAATATGCGTGACAGAAAATTTCAGTTATTTTTAACTGGACAATCAGTGAAAACTGACAGATATTTCAGTAATTTTTAACTGATTTTCAGTGAAATTTCACTGATTGAAATCGCGAGAATAGATCCACAGATTCTCAGTCAAATTTCACTGATTCAATTTTAGAGAGATTACGATTTTATACAAAATTTTTAAGCAAACGAATTTTTGTTTAGCAGAATTTTTAGCTCCCGAATTTTTATTTGTACGAATTTTTAATTGATAAAATTTATGAGACGCCGAATTTTAATTTATCAAAAATTACAAATAGCCGGACAAACAATCGATATAAAGATTTCGGCGCAATTTATAAAATTGATCAATTAGAAATTATCAAAAAAATTGTGATTGGTCAATTTTAAAAATTGTGCCGAAATCTTTTGTGTCGATTGTTTGTTCGGCTATTTGTAATTTTTGATAAATTAAAATTCGGCGTCTTATAAATTCTATCAATTAAAAATTCGTACAAATAAAAATTTGGTAGCTAAAAATTTTGTTAAGTAAAAAATTATTACAAATAAAAATTCAGATGAATTAAAATTCGGTAGCTAAAAATTTTGTTAAGTAAAGATTCGCACAAATAAAAATTCGGTAGCTAAAAATATTGTTAAGTAAAAATTCTGTCAAATAAAAATTCGGATGAATTTAAATTCGATAGCTAAAAATTTTGTTAAGTAAAAAATTCGCACAAATAAAAATTCGGACAAATTAAAATTCGGTAGCTAAAAATATTGTTTAAATAAAAATTCGTATAAAAAGAAATTCTATCAAATGCTAATTCGAAAAATGAAAATTCCTCTAAAAAATAATTATTTCTAATAAAATTCTTTAAAATAAAAATTCTAATTAATGATTTTTCTATAGGATATAATCATGCGCCGTGATTATCATTAATCAACAACAACAAAAATATGGGTAGTTTAATTACGAGGATTATTATTTTAATTGGAAAATTTACGCTACATTATGAATAAATTACAATTAAAAATTGTAATAAAAATACATTGGGTGAAATTATTGTTCTATTATCTTGGATATGACCCGTGAAATGTATTGACAAGTTAATTAATTTTTCCAGTCTATTAGCAGCATTTGCCATGGATTATGTGTTAATTTACTGTACGTTATTATTCTAAAGTACAATATTGTGCTTTTTTGTAAAAAAAAAAATCGTATTCGCAATGAATTTGATGGAAATTTTATTTTGTTTGCAATTTATAACAATTTACACAAATTCACAACACGATCTTGAAGAAGATGACTATCAACGTCAATTTTATCATGAAAGTGTTGCTCAAAGTGAGTGTAAAATTATTTTTGGTACTTTTTGTACTTTTATTGTACATCGAGAAAAAATTTTTTTTTTTGATTTAAAGAATTTTTTGATTAAAAAAAAAAATTAATTTAATTCAAAGAAACTTCACTGAGAAAAATGTTTAGTCAGAGCAACCAAAATTTGGTTGGGCCAACAAAAAAGTTTTGTTGGTATTTAAGCAACCAAACTATTTTGTTGTGTTAACCAAATTATTTTGTTGTCGTAACCAAATTTTGGTTGGAATTTAAAAATGTTCAACCAAATAATTTGGTTGGCCTAACCAAAATTTTTGGTTGAGATAACTCTACGACTTTGTTTCAGTCAACCAAAATTTGGTTACAAGAACCAAAATTGTCTAACCAAACAATTTTGTTGCAAACACTAAATTTTTTTTCCCAGTGTTTCTTCTAATTAAAAACCCGGTTTTTATTGTTAAAAAAAAATTTATTATGTACAGAAACTTTTTTCTGGGTGTTTATTTTTTTTTTTTTTTTTAATAAAATTTGTTATAATATTTATAGGAGCCTGCTATGGAGAGTATTACACAGTTACGTATAAAATGAGATGTCATATATTTGAGGGACCTCAAATTTTTCATGCTCAACGTAAAGACACTCGGTATATGTGTAAAAAACCCGAAATAATTTCATAAAGAAAAAAAAATTGTTAAATTCGAATTAGATAAACAAAAAAATTGATTCCAACAACTGATTAAAAACAACAATCCCTTTTCTCTGTATTTAATAAACAAAATAAAAAATAATAGAAAACATTTTTTAAGGATTTAATTTTCTGTATATAGTAAAAAAAAAATGAGGGATTTGTTTGCAAATATTTTGGAAATAAAATACAAGAGGAAAAAAAAATGTGTTACCTCTGAAGACCCCGTGGAATACAGGCACGCAACAGCGGGGGACAACCTCACACGGGCAGAGGTGGCATATCCTGGTGAGGGCCTTTTCGTAGGGCCGACGATGATGGGGGACTGGAATTTGGGGGGCAGCAGTCACCCCACCGGAGCGAGGTCTTCTGGGAGGGGCTATTCCTTGTCCTAAACGCGAGGCCGCCCATGGGCGCTGATGGCCATCGATTTTCGCCCAACTCACTTGTCTTCTATTACTACCTCTGTTGTTGATTTGACTTCCTGAGTCGATCTATATGATCAAAAATTTTGTCTTCCTGAAACAAAAAAAAGGAAAAAAAAATTTTATTTCTCAACCTAGATTATATAGAGGTACTAAAAATAGTTATATTTTCCTAGAAATTTCTCTCTCGATTTTTTTTTATTAAAAAAAATACTTTGTCGGAACTTTTTAAATTCATTATTTAACGGATTAAAAATAAATACTTTGTCAGCTTTTTGTATATGTAGATTATAAAATCAAAGCATTATTTAACGCTTAATGAGAATTTTAGAATTTTTTTTTTTTTTTTTTTTTCTAAAAATGTAATTATACACAAGGTGAGCGTGTATATAGCATAAAGAAGAAAAAAAAATAATCAAGTGCTAACTTATTTTCTCTAGTGAAGAGGATAAGGTCAGGGGTGAGTTCTCGTCAAGGGCATCGGATTACTCTTGAGGTATAAACATAAGTACATATAGCTGAAGGTAATTCATGTTTTTGTAGACAAAGTATATTCTTATTGTCGAATAATAATTCCCTTTAAAAAAAATGGTTTCAAAATTTATATTGAAAATTATTTCTTTTTTAATTGTATAATACACGAAAAACATCTTTACCTGGAACAGCGATAAGTTTCATTGGAACAGCGAAATGTTTCACTAAAACAGCGAAAGTTTTCACTGTTCTAGATAAACATATAGCTGTTTCAGATATATAAAGATTTTTTTCCATGTTTCCTAGATTATGTCCCGATTATTGAAATTATCATTTTTTTAGTAATTATTATCAATAAATTGAAAATGAGAAAAAAAAATTGTTTCGCTTTTTTCCGAAGATTATATTCTTAAATGAATCATTAATTTTCACATTGAACTTCGGTTAAATCTTGACGTAGCCGCAGGGCAATATTATTTGCCAGAGAGATCGATGCTGGACGTCGACGACATTTCTACGTCGTGAATACTGATTGCGGTTGTCAGTGCATTAATTTCTTTAACGTTATTATAATGCTTACTCATTGTATATTCTTGACATACCCATAGAGTAAACTTTAAACCTTGCGTGCAACCCTGACATAATCGTGTACCAAGTCAAACGACCCTATACACACTCGTTTGTAAATAATAGAAAATCCTGATATTCAATTTTTTTGCATATATATCTCTAGGTATATAGAGTTGCATTTGAAATTCAAAAAAAAAAGGCAAAACAACAATTTTTTATCCCCCTAAAATGTTCTATTAGAAAAAAAAATTATTTTATTCATCGTGTATTATTTTTGTACCTTAAAAAGAACTAGAAATATTATCAGAAATTTTTAAATCTTGAAAATATGATTTGGTTTTACACACGTAAATGGGTCATTTTGTGAAACGTTATTGTCGGTTTACGTGTTTGCAATTGGTGGATAAATTTAGAGATAAATAACCCAGTTTTGTAGGATAAAATAGATATTCCATATATACCTACGTAGTAAAAAAATATCTTTTATGAAAAAAAAATTTAACCGTTTTTTTTAAATATAATAAATCAACAAATATTGATATAGAAATTAACAATAAATAAATAATAATAGTAACAATAATAATAGTATAATAATACTAATAATAATAATAGTATAATAATAATAATAATAATAATAATAGTAATAATAAATAATAATAATAATAAATAAATTAATATTATGTGGATCAATGTAATATTAATAAATACAAAAATAATTAATAAGTAAAAAAATAAATAATACAAAAAATGTAACAAATGTAAAATAAATAATAAAGAAATATTTATAAATAAATACAAAAAAAATGTCGTTTTAAAAATATAATTATTTTTCCCTTTTGATTACTAGAGAAAAAATTAAATATTTATTTCTCTATTCGGAATTGAGAATTCAAACCTCAGAAATCAATTTTTAAAATTTAATTACCTAACTAGATGTTAATTTATAAATTACAAAGTACTAATTACTAATTATTAATTATTAATTATTATAGTTAAAATTATTTAATAATAACATATAATAAAGGGAAATTGATGGGGGTTGATATATTGTAAAACTTAAAAAGTGTACAAGATAAAAAAAATAATAAAATATATTTTTTTTAATTTTTAGAAATAACTTTTCACTAAAAAAAAAAGAAAACTTAAACGAGAAACTAATTTAGATAATATTATAATAAATCATTATTATCAGTTAGATTTGTAAAAAAAATAAAAAAAAAAACATTAATCTTCTTAAGAGCCCCTCCCATTTTTATAGAAAAATACTCGGTATCGATCAATGTTACGTCAAACATTTGATTCTACTTTTATTATATTTTAATGCTACTTGAAGTTTCGAGTGTTAAAATAAAATTTTTCCACAATTTAAATATTAATATTCACGCAAAATTTAATATAATTTCAAAAACTATTTAATTATTCTAAAAATGCTATTTTATTAATCACTGTTAAAAAAAAACATTTAAAAAATTTGTTTTTAATTTTAATATTATAAAAGAAATCAAAAAAAAAATTAATTTAAACAAATAATAACATAAAAGTTTAACAGTATACATATATCTATTCTCTTCAAAAAATATTTTATATCATTTAATTTTTAATTTATTAATAAATTGTTAATATTAAATTAATTTATTATTTAATTAGTAAAATAGTTTTCAAAAAAATAAAGAGTTATTTTATAAAACAATATGAATCTTTTGATTATTATTTTGAAACTTATCATCACAGTAAAAAGTAAATCTTAATTTAAGATAAGTCTTAAATTCAGTAGTACTATAGCCATAATGTATTTAAATTCAAATTGCATGTAAAACTATTGCTTAGATTCAGCAAGGGCTGTTTAAAAAAAATGTTGCGTTTAAAAATAAGACACATTTTCTGTCTTAAAATAAGACTTTCTTTTTACTGTGTTATGGGGAGAAGTAAAAAATTCATTTTTTTTGAGTTTTGAGTATTATAAACTCTACTCACAATCGCGCGGGGTGATCGCCTCTCGTTGTTGGAACATTCGTTGCTCGTTACATCAGACGTCGAAACAATCGTGCGCTTCTCACAAAATTTATTAAAATATTAAATTTGTACTAATTATATATTGTTAATTACAAATAATCAATTAATTTTTTATTTATCATAACGAGGCACAACTCTTGCATCACCATAAAATTTTTTTTTTCTATTTTTATAATGAAAATAAAAGTCGTCTGACAATAATTTGTTTTGTTATTAAAGGAAGACTATTCCGATTTAATTTGCGAGCAGAGATTATATTACAAATAATCATTGTTATGTATATGTGTTGGTATATATACATATATATATGTATATGTATAATTGTGGAAAAAAAGTATATATATATATATATAGGTGATCCGAAAAAAATTGAGCGCAATTTTATTTTATTTTTTTTTTATTTTTGTCGTCGACGTCGCCGGTCGTCGGAGCGTCGTAGTTTCGACGTCCCAAACGTCGCGGCGGACACCCCGCACTGAACCGGTAGTTTCCTTCGTAGTCCCGCAAATGAAAATTGTTGGAGGGATAGGATGTAATATTGATTCGGTGACGTCATGTTCGTTTGCACGGGGATGCCAACCCCCTCTTCACCCACGCAATATTAGTTCCGCGGTTTTGGGGTAGGGGGCGTGGATTGGTAGAAACACGATTCTGCGCGGGGTTGTTTTACCCCGCGCACTATATATATATAGTGTCGAGAGAAACAACGGGAAAGCTTATGATAAGGGGTGGGAATATCTTATTAGGACGAATGTGACAAATATAGACGTACTTTCAATGTATGTGTGTGTGTGTAATTTTACATATTTTCAGATTTTTCTCTAAAAAATTCATTTGTAAAAAAAATCTACCTCCAAATTGTTAGGGCAAAAAAAAAATCTATAAAAAAGTTATATTGTGAAAAAAATTTTTTAAACTCGAATCAACGAAACAATTAAACTTTTCTTTTTTTGTCAATAAAAAAAAAACCGTATTTTATAATAATAGCAATTGTTATTGCTGAAAATCGAAATCGTAGCAAAAATTCGTTTTGTAAAAGAAACAATGGGAAAAAATTTTCAGTTTTGCATTCATATAAATTCGTTTGCTTTTTTGAAAATGGAAAAATGGTTTTTTTGTTTTTTTTTTTTTGCAAATTAAAGGGTGGATTATAAAAAAATATAATAATTTAATAATAATAATGAAAATAATAGAAAGAATAATATAATAATGATAATAAATATATAAATATAATAATAATTTTATATATATAAATAAAATAATAATACGAATATGACTGTATAAACAAGTTAAACACATATATGCTGTGGAGATTTACTCTAGTTCTAAAATTATGCAGCTTATATTAGGTTTCCTTCTAAGAAACAAATTCTCATTTACACTCTAGTAAATTGTCTATTATTATACCTTTATATGTATAACCAAGGTAGGGTGCCAGTGAAAATAGTGAGCTTTTCATTGATTACAACTATAGACAGACTATACTTGAATTGTCTAAGAGAGAAAACGGTAACATTATTGCTTAAAATAGCTTCTTTACTTTGTAATCCCCCTTCTTATAATGGAATGAATGACCAAAGGTGTCTTTCCGTATCCCATTATAAAGCGATTCTTTATATATATATATTTACACATATATACACAGCTAGGGTATTTCCTATAGAAAAAAAAATAAAATTATTATTTTAATTTAATTAACTTTCTTTATTATTATTATTTTTCTATATTTATAATAGTCGATAAGAAAAAAATGTATCAAAAAGAATAAATTATAAAAAATAAAAATTGTTGAAATTGATAAAAATAATTATGGAACAATAGAAATTTATTTATATATCTGAAATTTCAACGATTCTTCTATATACCATTGTAAAAATTTAAATTTGTTCTCCGAAACGAATGTATATTTGCGAATATTGTTCGGACTGAATCGAAAATTCTATTGTTAAATTTTACATACATGCGACAACAAAATAATAACGAAAAAGAGATGCAGAAATTCGTCCCCTAAACAGATTACGTAACCAACCAATTCTTCAATATTATTCAATTTACAAAAAAAAAATTGAGAATTCAAATAGAAAAAGAAGAAATATATAAATATTTTCTATACAAAGATTTTTCATTGATATATAACTATACTTGTCTATATATAAACTATATTTTGGTAAGTTAAATGTAAACGGTTTGCCAAATTGTGCGTTTGAATGAGCGGCTGACCAAAACCGCATACAACCACTGGTCTGATTTTAACTTGAAATTATTTTCACTGAAAATTCTACTACTAACGTGTTCGAGAAATTAAACAAAAATATCGATATACATCTTGGAATTAATTTGAATAAAAAATATTCTAACTCATTTATTTGTTGCAAATATATTTCATTTCATTGAAATAAAAAATTTATTTGAGCCAAAGAAAAATTTATTTCTGACAAATAAAATTTTTATTTGACCCAAAGAAAAATTTATTTCTGACAAATAAAATTTTTATTTACGCCAAATAAATAAGTTAGTAGGCTCTGAGACAAATATACGTTTATTTAATTCAAATATATTTTATTTGATTCAAATAAATCATCATTTCTCTGGGTGTGGTAAGCAAATAAATATCAAATTTTATACCTAGAGAAATTTTTTCATTTGAATCAAATATAATATATATTTGAGTTAAATAAACGTATTAAAAAAAATTGCTTCTTAAATTAAGACAACTTTTCTGCCTTAAAATAAGATTTTCTTTTTACTGTGTTTGTTTTAAATACCAATTTATTTAATTCAAGTAAAAATTATTTTGTTCAAGTAAATAATTATTTTCCGATAATAGTTATCATCATCATTAATTTGAATCAAATAAAAAATTTTTCATTGTGCATTATTTATAAAAAAAATGAACAAATATCAAGAACTAAGGCGAATTTTACAATATTAATATTATAAATAAATCATGCCATTATCTTGGAGACCAAAAATAACCCCCTCCCCTCCTTCAAAAAAAAGATGTGAATTATGCAAAAGTGTTTAATATTTGCAAAGGCATGCATTCGAAAATGGATGACTTGCAGGTGGATCACGAACTACCCCTTACACGGTCGATATCACTTGACCCACTCCTTTTACAATGTCTAAACTCCTCCTTTTTTATTTAACATTTTATTTCATAACTTTTGACCTTCCCTTTTTTAAAGAATTCCGAAAAATTTGAAAATCAATGATATTCACTGAAAAAAAAAAAATTTATTTGATTCAAATAATCGGTTACTTCAATCAAATAAATATTTATTTGAACCAAATAATTTTTATTATAATCAAATAATCTTTATTGAACCAATAATTTTTGTATTTGAAACAAATACACATTTAATTGACTGAAATAAATAATTATTTAATACAAATACGTATTTAATTGACTGAAATAAATAATTATTTAATACAAATAAATATTTAATTGCTAATAATCAAGTAACCGATTATTTGAATCAAATAATTTTTTTTATTTTAAATGTGTTTTAAGGGCTAAAAAATATCTGTATTACAATTAAAGTTAGTTTAAATTATTATTATTAGATTATTAATTTTTTTTTATTATTTATACTGTTATTTATTTAAATTAATCTTAAGAGTAGGTATAATATTTATACAAAATGTTACACTGAAAAAAAAAATTATTTAATTCAAATAATCGGTTACTTCAATCAAATAAATATTTATTTGAACCAAATAATTTTTATTATAATTAAATAATCTTTTTTGTATTTGAAACAAATACGCATTTAATTGACTGAAATAAATAATTATTTAATACAAATATGCATTTAATTGAATTAAATAATAATTATTTAATACAAATAAATATTTAATTGCTAATAATCAAGTAACCGATTATTTGAATCAAATAATTTTTTTTATTTTAAATGTGTTTTAAGGGCTAAAAAATATTTGTATTACAATTAAAGTTAGTTTAAATTATTATTAATAGATTATTAATTTTTTTTTTATTATTTATACTGTTATTTATTTAAATTAATCTTAAGAATAGGTATAATATTTATACAAAATACTACACTGAAAAAAAAAATTTATTTAATTCAAATAATCGAATACTTGACTATTATCAAATAAATATTTACTTGAACCAAATAATTTTTATTTAAATGAATTAAATTTTATTTGTTTAAAATACAGAAATTATTGACTTTAAATATACAGTTTATTTTATTCAAATAAAAATTATTTGATAATAATAGTAAAGTAATCGATTATTTCAATCAAATAAATTTTTTTTGTAAATCGAAAAAAAGAAGTGTGTGCGTTAATTAATATCATGCCACGGATATTATATAAGTAGCAGTATTTGTTGCAAAATAATTACATAATGTGTCTTTCAAATTAATGTCGTGTAAGGCATTTATATCAGTTCTTCAAATTACACGCAAACTTCACGCACGCATTAATTATTGTACACATTTTCCCATTTATAATATAGAGGTGTCAGATTCATGTCCGCTCATGATGAGTTATAGTTTCAAAACAGATTGATCATTATTTTACATTAAGTAATTTTTTTTTTTTCAATAATTACATATGAATATTTTTCTTTAAAAATATAAAAGATTTTTTTAAATTCACTTTAATTTACAATCTAAATTTAATTCATTTGTTTAGTAATAATATAATTATTTTATTTAATATATTGCAAAATTTGCTTTTCATTCAAAAAAACAAAAGCAAATTTTTTTTTCATGACAGAAAATTCATGGTTCAATTAAGAGGACTTGAATGTCGAAAAGTCAAGTAGTTCGTGTTGTATTTGAATTAGAATGAAAATTTCGCCACGTGCCAGGTGAAGCACCAAGGGACAATAGTCACGTGCAAAAGTGAATTTCATGAAAAAGATATACCGCGTTTTAGTATGTTCAACTATATATATCAGATCTTCAAATCATTAAAAATTGGATTTAAATAAAAATTATTTTTGAAAAAAAAATTACTGACAAAGTAAATAACGATTTTCAAATTAAAATTTTTGTTTATAAATAAAATATAAATTTATATTAAGTATATATCAATATCAGCATTAAATTTAAGAAAAACTGATATTTTCAGATAATAAGGCGGTCATATAAAAATAAATTGTAGGATAAATATGCAACATTAAACAAGATTGTGAGAAGCAAAGAAAACTTTTTACTGAGAAGAAATCAATGAAGCTTATAAATAAGTACAAAAATAAAAATTAAATGACAATTTTACACATTAAATGTACAAAATGTAATTAAATTTTTATACAATGAAAACCAATCTCACTTTGTAAATATCCGCGAAAAGTATATTATCATTCCTCATCCTGAAATTGTATTTTCATTTTAATTAAAAGTACATATAATCTGATTTTAATTTCATATTATAATTTCGGTTGATTAGAAAATGTAATTGTTTCAATTATATATGGTTAAATATTTTTAATGAATAATATAGAAAAATTTTAATTTAAATTAAATATAATATAATGGACATTTTTCAAAATTATTTTTTTTTCATTTTTTAACTTGGCAAATGTGTCCCATAAGATGCAACTCCTTTTAATTTAAAAAAAAACAGTGTAACGATACTCTCATCAGGGTAGTAAAGGTACTCGATTGACTAACTGGGTCACGAGTCACGACCTCCGGGGTTTCTTATTTTTTTCCTCGTCAACTTAAGTGCACGATTCACTACTTAATTACCTTCTAAGTTCAAAACACGTGAATATGTATATAAAAAAAAATCCTAAAGCTATGAAGTATTTTTAGATCAAACAGAAAAACCGAACATTATAAATGTTTATTTGAAATTTGTGTATTTCAAATTTTTTCTCAAAATTTGAGTTTAAAAATTTTTGCGCATAAAAAAATTAATGTTAATTTTTATTATAAATAAAACAATAATAAATTACTTTAATATTAGTATTAATAACAATAATTATTATTATTTTTCTATTAATTTTAATAACAATAATAATTATTATTTTTCTATTAATATTAATAATTATAAAAAATAATAATAGAATAATGGATTTAAATTTCAGGTAAATTTGAAAATAATCTTTATTTTTCTAAACGCTGCAGCCATCTGTCGGTACTTAATAGAATTTCTTCTGTAATCCGTCAGTTGGTCATGCAGGTTTCTACTTAAATATTTCAATTCAAATTTATCAAAATACTATTTCTTTTTAATTATTAAATATTCGTACCCTTTTTTAAATAATTAATACTTTTTAATTAATACTAAATTAGTCGACTTTTTTTCCTAAATTTTTTTACTACTAAAATTTCGAATGATATTCTATTAAAGAAATTATCGAATATATTTCATTTTAAAGAAAAAAAAAATTTACTAATTAGTAAAAATTAACTAATTCATATAGAAAAAAGTCAGTTACGAATTTAAATTTTTAAAAAAAATTTACTAATTCAGATTTCGAGAGTAAAGAAACTGCGTATATTTAATATAAGCATATGAAATAAAATCTTCTGGAATTCGTAAATATAAACAACCGTCAAACGTTCTCTTCCAACGAACCAGACAAAATACAGATGTGAATTGAATTTCAAAAATAATTATTTTATGAAAAATATTACATCCAGAGAAATGATATATTTGTATTAGAGCTAAATAAATATTTGTTTCAACTAAATTTTATTTAGTTTAAAATAAAAATTATATTTATCAGAAATAAAAATTATATTTATGTTAAATAAAATTTTTATTTATGTCAAACAAAATATAAACAGGTTTTGAGACAAATGTACGTTTATATTTAACTCAAATATATTATATTTAGTTCAATTAAAATATATTTCTCTGGTATAAATATTTTTTCAACACAATAAATTAATGGTTAATTAAATAAAATAAAATAATAATTATAAAATCAACAAAAATTTGCAATTAAAAATAGCAATTGTAAAAAATAAAAAATTACACAATCACAGTTTACCATATTTTGCTTGCAATATTCTATTTAAGAAAATGAAATTAGGGCACTCAATTATTGAAAGAGGGTAATGAAGAATTTATAACTTTAAAAGAGATTAATTTACCTTTGTTCCCTCAGGCATACTATAGGATTTTATTTACTCGACTGACGTCAACACTTTTGAATTATTTAATTATTATATTGCAAGAAATTTGATTTGTAGAGAAATGGTTAACTATTCAAAGTATACGAATTAAAATATATGTTGCTAAAAAAAAACGTTGTAAAAAAATAAATTTTTAAAAAATTATTGAATCAGTTTTTTTTAAATTCTTTTTTTTCGAATTGTAATGAAGAACTTGATTTTTTAGAGAATAAAAAATTTTTTTTAAAATAAATTTAAAGGGATGAAATTATTACAACATATGATGTAATTAATTTATCCCACTCTTGGGTATATTTGCAATCTCATATTTAAAAAAAAAGGAGAGGGTATAGGATATATATCAAATGTGGGACTGTTGACGAAGAGTTAGTCATAACAAAATACTGAGACCGAAAACTTGCGCTCACGATTTCTAAGTGTATATGTAATATAAAATATAATTTAAAGTAAAATTTTGGAGTGAAAAACCAAAAAACATTCAAATTTTTCATTATTCTTTAATAAAAAAAGAAAAAGATTTTTAAAAAATGGCAGAAAACAAAATAAAAAAATTTATTATTGAACATCAAATACAACCCCATGGAACGAAACCAGTTATAACTATTATTTTTTATTATAATCCATAAGGTGCAAAAACAAAACTATGAGGAATGGCATTTTTTAAAATTCGATTTTCAACCCTATGAAAATCGTTAATGGAAAGTAGGTTTATGTAAATTGTCAGAAATTCTTAAAAATCTCAAAATTTTTAATAAAATAAAAGGAAATAAAAATAACAATAAAAAAATTTTAATAATAATAATAAATATAATAAATATAAATATAATAAAAATAATTATTATTTTACAAAACATATTCCAAAGCTATATATATACTCTTGTGTAAATTAATATTCAAAAATTATGATTTTTATTAATTGCAGATTACAGTTGTTAAAAAAAGATCCAGATTTTTTTTAAATTGCAAGATCAATTTCGAAAATATGAATCTACAATTATTTAATTCACGCATTTTAATTTGGCAAAAAATGAAAAATTTGATGGTTTATCTTCAAAATTACAAGGAACAACTCAAACAAGATGAGTTAAAATTCAATTTTTATTTCTATATTCTGGCGTATAATTATATTATACAATTTCATTAAACATGATAATCATAGAAAATAAGTATAAAATGATTCAAGACAAAACTTTTTTTTATATTTGATTGCCAGTAGACATGGAAAAAAATATATTTGTTCCAAATAATCAATATTTCTTTAGTAAATAGAAAAATAAAAAAAAATCCATTTGACTTTACACCCCAAAAAAATGTTATTCAACGAAATGTAGTCAATATTGCTTTTTGTAATTTATTCAAAAAAAAAATCCTCGATTTAAAAAAAGTATTTTTATTAAAAAAAATTTGTATTAAAAAAAATTTTTTTTAATTACAAAATTTTTAACAAAATATTATTTGAACCAAATAAAATATATTCGAGTTAAATAAACGTATATTTGTCTCAGAGCCTACTAACTTATTTATTTGGCGTAAATAAAAATTTTATTTGTCAGAAATAAATTTTTCTTTGGCTCAAATAAATTTTTTATTTCAATGTAATAAAATATTATTTGCAACAAATGAATGAGTTATAGTAGGCTCGGAGACAAATATATACCATATTTCTCTGAGTGTAAATTTAAATGTTTTCATATGTAAAAAATGACTCTGTAAAATATAAAATCACAAATTTTTAATAAAATGTTTTGTAATCATTAAAAGAAATTTAATTATTTAAAAAAAATTCCAAAGCAAGTTATTTTTTAATATAAAAATATTTTTATCCTAGTTTTAAAAAATTTTAAGGTTAGGTTTTCATTTGTCTGTTTATAATATCGACGTGTTTTTCATCATTAAGGGCAATTATTAAATTTTTCCATATTATTTTTTTTTTTTTTGAGTAATAGTGCGTACTACTGTACGTCGGAAAAACAAAAAATTTCTATTCCAAATAAAAGAATTCAGACAACAATATTGTTGATTATTCAAAAAATAAATCCTATTGTTTATAGTATCATTTTTTTTTCGATTTTTTTTTCACCTAAACAACAAAATGGTAATATTTCCGTAATTTTCATTAAAATGAAATACATAAAAAGAGGGGGAGAACTAGAATTTACACGCAGCGCGCAGGCCAGCGCAGAGAAGAGCGTCATTGTCAGAAAACCAGTGCGTCGTCTTCTCCCTCACCCTTCTCCCTTCGATTGCCAAGCGGTGTGGACGCGAGACATCTCTAATAATTACTTTAAGTGTGTTTAAATAATTTACCCGCCAAAGAGACTATCTAGTGTTCAAGTTATAATAATCCATTAATAACAAAATGGCCAATCAAGAAAACAAGGATTTCAGCGAAGACGTCAGTGAAAATTATGAACAAAACGGAGATGGTGAAAACGGCGCCGGGGACGCCGCTGAAAATGGTCAGGGAGAATCTCAGGAGGATAGGTAAATTTCTTTTCATTTAAAACATAATCATTTGTTTTTTTTTGTTAGTAATTAAAAATTCAAATCTTGTATCTCTGGAAAATTTATCTCATTGTTATTATAGTTTTACTTGTTTTCTGACAGTGCTCTCACTTTATTTGAAACAATCAATAAAATGGCGTTCGTACAGAATCTGTCTGCTGCATTTAAATCTCAGATAAAAATGCATTGTTTTCTTTTTTTCGGAGTATTTGATAAATTTTTGTGTGTATTATTTTTTATTTTTAAACAATCCCTAATGCTGAAAGGATTTTTTTTTTCCTGAGAGAAGATTTGATATTTTTACGAAACAAATAAGAATATTTTAATTCAAAGTGGAGACGCCGGTTATGGACCCGGGTGGACGCGCCCACGCTAGGGAAAGGCTAAAATGGCGTCAATCGATGCGGCGTTCCTTTTTATTATAAAATCTATATTCAAGGTTTCTTTGAAATTATCCTTTCTATTGTTTTGATAATTATCTTTTTTTAAATTAAACAAATATAACTTCCTTCAATTTATATTATATTTTTTTCAGCTACTCCAAAATGACTAATTTGTTAATATTCCAATTATTTTAATTAAAAATTGAATAAATTTTGAAAAATTTTTAAATAAAAAAATAAATATTTATTTTTAATTGAATAATGAGAAAATAATTAATATAAAAAGAAACTGGCGTCCCACTTTATATAGCGTCTTAGACTTAGAAATCTAGATTAATTTATCACTACAATATATTTGTCAATGACAATTGACTGACTTATGGCATGCATTCGTAATAAGTTAATGATAACTTAATTCATAATCGATAAATGTTTTGATTTGATATTGTGCTTTCTTTAGTAATTAATAATAAAAAAAGAATTTTGTACAAAACTGATCCTAATATTCTATATCTAATAGTAATTCAATTTTATTAATATTTTTTTTATCAATAAAGGGACATTGTTTATTTTTGCCTTTAATATTGATGATTCTAAATAGTAAAGGTAATAGAGAAAAAAAAAATTTGCTATTTAAATTTTTTGACCAGCCGAGACTCTTCTCGTTCTTTGCAGCCGAATTCTGGGTGATCAATTATTCTTATTCAATGGTAAATTATATGTCTGCTAAAAAAAAAAAATTGTATCAGTCCCTTGTTTAATATATAGTCTCAAGTTTCAAAAATCACGAGTCATTTTCCAGTCAGTATTTCATATATTTATAAACTCGTACCTAAATTTTTGTTCGCTTCTGTTGATTATTAATATTTATCAAATTAAGAATTAAATTATTGAATCACATTAAAGAAAACAAAAAAAAAAAAATTCCCTCATTGAGAAATTAATTTATCAATTGAGAATGTAAAAGAAATTATTTCTATTTTTTTCTAAGAGCTTGAGACTATTTTTTTTATCAAAATAAAAAAAAAAGCAGAGAATTATTGAGAGAAGTGAACATCAAGTATATATATATACAAGTCCGTCATGTCTCGTCATGGCACAAGCACTGGAAGTTGAGTCAATTGTGTCAGATCAGTCAAGTCTCGCACATTTTCCTGCTGGGTCACGCGTAGAGTCAAATTCAGATCCGAAGTCAATGCAGTTTGGGCGTGACCGAGCACAGAGTCACTAGGGCCAATGCGAAAATCACGAAACAAGTTCGGAATGCATTAACCCAAGTTTATGTGGCTTGATCTGCAGGTGGCAAAAACGACCCAGTGCGAATATGGTGGGCGGCTAGCAACCGGCTTATCGTGACCTGACCGACAACTGAGTATCGACGATGTGACTGGTGTCCATGGTATTTATCCACCAGCCCTAAGACGACATAAAAGAAAAAGTTCAATCGATATATATATAAAAAAAAATATATACCTAAAAAAAAAAAAATTAGCGATTACCGCACAAAAAAAAACTAATAGAAAAATATGAAAATCTTTCTTTAAAATGCCAAGACAACTATCTTGACTCGAGAAATAAAGATAACTTGCCAAAGACGAGAGAGAATTAAGAAAAAAAGAAAATTCATTAGTAAAACGTATTTGTTTCATAAATTGTAATATTGTCTAAAAATTCGTTTTATTTATTTTTTTATTCGCCTTTGATGATAATTATTTGAAATTATTTATATATAATATTTCGGATAAGTTTTTAGCATTTTTAATATAGAGTTGCAGTCTTCTAGTGAAAAATCTTTGGGCCAATCAGCAGTCTGAGATACAACTTGGATTTAGTTCATTCTTGAAAAAGTTTGAATTTGAGATTTAAAAAAAAGAAAAAAAAAGATTAGACAAAATGTAAAATTTTCAATTTCATTGTTTTCTTTAGGCGCAGCTGATTGTCATCTGGGTGTAATTGCTCGTGTTTGTTGAATTTTGTTTTAAGAAAAAAAAAAAAAGAAAAATTTTTTTATTACTCTCTCGATGATTGCGTAATTTTCTTTATAATTTTTTTTTTCTAATTTTTGATAAAGAAAGGCAAAATTTTATTTTATTGTTACGGTAATGATTTTCCATCTTTCATCAGAGATGTCTGCATATGGTATGATATTACTATTTCTATATTTATAATAAGATTATTTGTTCATTAATGCGGTAGAATTTTTTTTTTTATTCAAGATATAGAAATTGTCTGATATTTTATAAACAAAATAGTTTGTTACTATTTTATAGAGGATTTTCCTTTTTGACAAAAAAGAAAGGATTTTTTTTTTCAGGAAACTAGTCAAAATAAAAAAGAAATGAAATTTTGTAAATTTTGTTTTTGTCTCAGTATTTGAATCAAAAGTTTGATAAAAAAATAAATTCAATTGATTTGCAGGTCAGCTGGAGCATAGATGGAATCTCGAAAAGAATTTTAACATTAAATTCATTTGTTGATTTAATTAAATTGTTTTATAAATGGCAAAATTTAAGAACAAATTTAATATATTAATAATTTGATGAAATAGTATTTTAAGTTCTATATCCAGGTGGTAGCTGTCTATGGTCATTGTGATAGTTTTAATAATTTGAAGGAAAAAAAAAAAAACTTAGTGTATTTGAAATTTGTCTGCCTATCATTTTTTATTACAGATAAACTTGTTAAGTTGCAGTGATTTGAGAATTTTTGGTGATAATACAAACCAAATAAAAGTCTTATTTTAGAGATAAATCAATTTTAAATTAAAATTAGTTTACATTGTGTTTAGATTTTTCTTTTGAGAAGAAAAATAAAAATTTGTTAGGAATTACGAGAAAAATTTTATAGATTTTACTAAAAAAAGTTATTTTTTTTTCTTATTTATAGGAAGTTGTTTGTTGGTGCCCTCAGCTGGGAAACTACTGACAGTGAGTATATTTAAATATAAAGAAAGAAAAAATACCAAAAAGAAGAAGAAAGAGAATTCTATTAATATACGGGAATTTTTAGAGGAACTTCGTGAATACTTCAGTAAATATGGAGACATTGAGAGCATCAATGTTAAGACAGACCCAAATACAGGACGATCAAGAGGATTTGCCTTCATTGTCTTTGCTAAAGCTGAATCTCTCGATAAGGTAAAAATGAATTTTTTTTTATTATAAAAATACAATCTTGATTTAATTTTTATGATGTTAATTGAAAGTCAGTTCTGCTACTGAATGTATAAATGAAGACAATTCTTTCTCTGAGATTTTTTTTTAAATTATTTAATTTTTTTGTATTTATGCAAAATAATTTTTGATTCTATACTATATTTTTTGTTTATTTTCTAGATTATGTCAGCAGGTGATCATATGATCAACAATAAAAAGGTTGACCCCAAGAAAGCGAAAGCCCGACATGGAAAAATTTTCGTCGGTGGTCTTTCAACCGAATTATCCGATGATGATATCAAAAATTTCTTTGGCCAATTTGGAACCGTAAGAATATATTTTTATTTTCTGATAAATTTTAGAAACAAAAATATATTTTGAGCTAGTTTTGTTTAGCTATAATTGAAATTTAATTTTGTGTAGATCGTTGAAGTTGAAATGCCCTTTGATAAGACAAAGAACCAAAGGAAAGGATTCTGTTTTATCACCTTCGAATCTGAACAAGTTGTCAATAAACTCCTGAAGACTCCTAAGCAAACCATTAATGGAAAAGAGGTAATAATTTATCATTTTCTTTCGTAATTTATAATCAATTATTTATATAAATCTGCATAATTTGTTTTTTTTAATTTTTTATTTTAATAATTCTATTTTAATTTATGATGTTAATTGAAAGTCAGTTCTGCTACTGAGTGGAAGTGAGGATAATTCTTTCTCTGAGATTTTTTTTTTATTTCTGTAAAAGTAAATGAAAATAATTGTATATATATATAAAGAGTTAATGAACAAAAATTTCAGGTGGACGTGAAAAAAGCAACGCCAAAAGTTGATGGAATGGGAGGAATGAGAGGTGGAATGATGCGTGGTCGTGGAACGAGAGGAGGTCGCGGAGGACGTGGAGGTTTCCAGGGTGGTTGGCAAGGCGGTTATGGTGGAGGCTATGGCGGCGGCTACCAGGGTGGATATGGAGGTGGCTACGACAGCTACGGAGGATACGATTATTACGGCGGTGGGTACGGTGGCTACGGCGGCTACGACTACAGTGGCTATGGTAATTTTCATGACTTTTACTGAAGGTCGTTCGTCATTCGTTTCTGCGATAAACTATCGTCTTTCTGAGAGATCAGCACTTCGACGAACGGCTCTGAATCGTGGATGCCACGATAATCGCGCTTCCCTCTTTTGAACAAACGCATTATATATATATATATATAAATAATATATATTTTTTTTGTTCTATTATTATTTTGCTCAAAATGAGGCGCAAGCATAAAAAAAAAGATTGCTCCAAGGTTTTCGCGATTCGGATTGTCTATTCTGAAGACAATTTATGATTAGACATATATATTGTACATACTGTACGATAGGCGAAAAAAAAAGAAATGTGTGATATTATTTCTAACAGAAACGACATAAGAATGTTGATTTGCAGGCAAATCAACTTCGGTCTATTCTTTGCGCCCCTTTTTTTTTATTTTTTCTTTCATCGTGATGATAAAATTTCCCTAAAAACAATCATGAGCACAAATATTCGTCATTTAATGGCAAAATATCAAAGTCAATTTTCTATCGTTTCGTGAAAAAGAAAAAGAAAACAATTTTCCAAACGAACAAATTTAATTCTAATCTCCTTTTATTAACGTTGTTACCCGTTTAACGTAACTAATTACTAATCCAAAAAAAAAATAATATTTAATGCCTTGTTAAAAACGAACATTAATGAAAATTAACCATTGCTGAAAAATTACTTTATGATAAAATTATCTACAATATATTAAATATGCAAAATATATACATGGCGCATTAACAAATAAGTAATAACATATAATATTATGTAACAGTGAAAGTGTGAAGGCAGACTAACCAAAAAAAAAAAAAAAGATTTCTCGAGTACTTTTATATATTTTTTATTTATTTATTAAGTAAAATGACTGAACAAGTCACTATTTTTTATGCAACTTTTTATTTGACTTATTTTCTCATGAAACTTTGAAAATATGTTTTTTAATCTTTTATTTTATTTTAACGTGATGGTAAAAATTTGAAAATTATTTTTCAAGTTATCTACATTTCATACGTTCACTGATTGATGTCAGTGAATCGGTGGAATTTACTATTGTTATTATTATTATTTTCTAGTAATTTAATTGTCTTTTTTTTTATATATTTTTTTCTTGTTTCTCTAATTCTGCAGACTCGCTGACTTCAAAAACACTCAATCACTGTAACATAATTATATATATAAATACTTTGTGAAAAACATTAAAGTAAAACTATATATAACATGGTTTATGAAATGGTATATGTATCCCTTACTCCTGCTTTCGAGTCCTATCAAATTCCTTTTTTTACATTCATCAATTAGCCAAATTAACCATTTTTTAAAAATTTGAATATAACAAAGGGAATTATATTTTTGTAGGAGTTTTTTTTTTTAATTTTAAATTTCAAAAAAAAATTTAATTTCTTCGTGTATGAATTTTAGATAAATTTATCAACTAGTTTAATTAATTTTTTTTTATGATTATAAAAGAATAGTTAAATTACAATTTTGCAAAAACAATCGAAATCGACGTTACTGACTTGATTGTCTCTTTACATCGTGTGTTCCATGAAACGCAGACGGCTATGGCTATGGCGGTGGTAGTTACGATGGTGGCTACGCAGGTGGGCGCGGTGGTGCACGCGGTAAAGGTACGCATTCGCGTCCTTTCTCTATTCTCGTATTTTCCATCATTTCATTTTATCCTTTCCTCCCCTTATATATCGATTACCGAAATCCATTTCTAATCGATGTCAATCGATTCAAGTCTTTTTTCTTTCATAAATTTGCAATGAGAAAAAACAAAATTTTTTGCACCCGGATAATTTTTATTTTTTTAATTTAATTAAAAAAAGAAATTAAAAATTATTTCTTTAAAGATTATTTAAAATATTTTCAGTGTGGCCTTAAATCAATGTACATCGATTGGATCGTTCCTTTATTATTATTTTTTTTTTGCATCGATCCTTTTCGTTATAAAAATAATTATCTATTTAATATGCACGGTCTTGAGTATTATTTTTAGTTTTGTTTGATTTTAGAATAATTTTACTGTTAGAACGTTTGAAGGAGCACTAAATGTAACAATAATTTTTTTTTATTTTTTGTGTGAAAGATTGTTATTATTATTTTTCTATCTTTACTCACTAACGCTGATTAATTTGAGTTAAAGAACACGCGACCCTTTTTTCAAAATTTCTCAGAAGATTTTTGAAAATATTCTAAATCGGCGCTTTATTATAATAACACTTGTAACAGAAGAGTTTTTATAATTACACTACACGCTTTCAAAAAAAAAAAAAAAAAATTATCCAGAAATGTTTAACGAGGCTGGGCACTCTGCATTGATTCGGAACGCAGCCATCTACCTGAGTAAAGTCTGAATTTTCTGTAGTCGACTTTTTTTTCTGTGTTAATCACTCAATTTAATATTTGTAGATATATATTTTTTTCGTATTAGAATTTTTTTTTTAATTTTTGTTTGTACTTGCTATAAACGAAAAGAATAAAAAAAAATTATTCAATTTTATAACAATGTTTTATAAATATGTTTACAGGGGGTGCAGGTTTTGCTGGAAAACAAAGAGGTGGAGGTAGAGGAAACGCCAGGCATCAGCCTTATTAAATGAAATTATAATTCACGAACTCAATGCCAATCTGCATTGTGATCGTTGGTGAGTAATTTTTTCCCCTCCCCTTTTATCTCCAATGTTTTTTCTTTCATTTTATTTATTGTAAAAATTAGCTAAATAAAATTTCTTTTCTACTTTTCTTTTTTTGTTTATAAAAAAGAAAAAAAAACAATTCCTATTTTTTTCCTTCTTCCATCATTTCATTTTTTTTTCGAAAGTTAGTATTTTTCCTGCATGATTTAGAAATAAAAAAAAAAAAAAAACAATAGATTCGTGAATAGAAATTTAAACTCTGTCCGGTTTTCAGCGCAGGTGTGCAACGTTCTGCATCTTTCGATAATACGAGATAACGACTGAATACCATAAAATCAACATCAGCAGTCTCAACTTTTCGTGTTTTGTGCAGTTTTTCTATATAATTTTTCTTTTTATTTTAAGCTTATAGTCAATGATTCATACTTAATAAATGATTCTCTAAGTCTGATTTTTTTAATGAAAATAAAGTGTTGAGCAAAGGGAAGTACCATCATTGTCCATTGAATATTGAAATTATTTATAGAAAACTAAATTGTCATTTATTGAGGAAACGGTAAATAACTTAATAATTTGAATTTGTAAACCCTTAATGACATTGATGATATTTCCTTTGCCCTCTGAGTTTTGCATTTCTATACTTCAATTAGTTATACAAAATATTATGAATAATTATCGCGATTAAAAGATGGATGAAGGGAAATAAATGGAATTTTTTTTAATGGAGAAAACAAAAATTTTTAACTATTGATTAAAAAAATTTAATATGTTATTTTCGTGACAAAATCGTGGATTCATATCATGTTACAGAATGTGCCTCAGTATTCTCAGATTTACTTCCAAACGGAGCATCAGAGCTTTGCCATAGCTCTATTACTGGATGAAATACGGATTAATCTACTTAAAACGTCTACTAGGCAATACTCATTGATTTTTTTGGTTACGTCAATTTCAGGATTTTTTATCAATTGAAGAAGGCAGTTGTGAAGAGAAATTTGACAACACCAATAAAATATTTAATTAAATTGATATTTCATTATTAAGTAAAGGCAATATTTAAGTGTTTTATAATAATTTGAGAAAGAGAAAAAAAATCTAGAAAATTAAATTTTCGAGAAGAAGAATATGTACTTGAGCACAATAATAATTCTTTTTTTATCCTAGATAAATCGACTGATGTCTGCAATTGAAAATGTAAATTAATTTAAAAGAGTCGCGTAAATATTGATGCTTCCGAAAGAAATGAATGTACCATAGTGTGTTTGGATGAACTGTATTTGTCTCAAGTATATTTTTTCCGGATATCGAAAATCTCGGGACACTCACGTGTATACGTACACGAATACATTAGAATTAAGCCCTAGGTATTTATTAAAATTATTATTTTATAGGATTAATTGCAATACCAAAATAAAAAAAAAAATTCAGTGTCGGCTCAAATTTGATTTATTTTTTATTTACCTTACTATTAATGTTTAACATTCATTGAGAAAACTGCCTTAATGAATTATTTAATGGGGGCAATAGATTTAAATTATTTTCTTATATTATTTATAATAATGAAATATTAATGTCTTTGTATGACTTTCCAATGATTGAACAAATTAATTGATAATTTATCATAATTTTAATTTACATATCGAAGTTCATTTTTTCAAATAATTTTATTGACTTCTAAAAATAAAAAAAAAATACTTTTGAATGAAGTAGTAAAATCTTTCATTAATAAAAATATAATTTTTTAAAATTTGAGATAATTTTTTTTTAACAATAATTTATTACAATAAAAAAATTTGCTAAAATAAATAAAATAGTTACATATTTAGCAATAAATAAAAAAATTAATTGGAGTATTTTTATAATTTGTTATTTTATTTTCTAAATAAAAATTTGTTTATTTATTAAAGTTTCACTGACTAACGTTGTCATATCTAACGGGAAGTTGACTAAAACGTGTAATCAGAGGTGGAATGAATCATTTAAATTTTTACACTTTATAGCAAGCTATTAATAAATTTTATTATAAATTTTTCAAGCTTGTTAATATTAATAAAGTGGGAACTATATTTTTTTATTAAATTGTACATTTAATGAAATACCCTCCCTTTTACGTATTGATTTCATTTCCGGATGACTCAAGGGGGATTAATTCTAGAATTTCATTGGTCAATTTAACAGTAGTTTCACAGCCACATGTTCCTTTTTCTTTCTCTCTCAGTTTCACATCTGTCACATTTACTATCTCTTTTTAATACTAATTTCAGGGACGTAGTAATTATTTCAAAATTTTACTGTTCAAAAATTATTTTTCAAATATTGAATATGTAAAATTATTTCAACAATTGAGCTTTTAAATTAATTTGAATATCAAAAACAGTATTTTAAATACTATATATCCAAAAATATATGTATTTATTTAATACTTATGAATCAAGTGAGTCTATTATAATATATTATTTTATCAGAAAATATATAACCGAGAAAAAAAATTAAATGTCTTTTAAATTTATTATACACGTGAGTGTCGGATTTGTTTTTTTGCAGCATCTGAGAAATGAAAATTATTTCTCAAATTAAATTGTTGTGATAAAAATAAAAAAATTTTGTAATAATATTTATTTTGATGTTTGGATTTATGTTTTATTAATGTTAATAGAAATAATCAATATTTGAGCATTATTACTAAGAAAAGTAAAGGGCACTACTGATTTTGTGTACATGAATGAATCTCGTAAATTTTCACGCCTTCTGATTGGACAGTGATGTTAAATGGGAGAGGAAATTACCCATGAAGCACTACGACTACCCATAAATGAATTGTATAAGGAGAGTTCCCCTACTTCTACCACCACTATTTCGTTCTTCTTCTTTTGGCAGCCGAGCAGTTCGGACGTAAAGTGTTTCTGACTCGGACTTTAATCTAATTTTCAAATCACAGTTACAATTACATAGTGTTTAATTATTTATTGTTTAAATATTAAACTATTTTAACAAAATGGCCAATGAGGAAAATAAGGATTTCGCCGACGATATTGCGGATCAGGGTTTCCCAGTCCAGCAAAATGGAGAGGGCGGCGGCGGTGATGCCACTGAAAATGGTGGTAGTTCAGAATCACAGGAAGACAGGTAAATTTTTTTCCAATCAGAACATTATTTTTTTTATTTATATCAATATTTTTTCGCGATTTTAAGACGCCCGCGATATTTATTTTAAAGCGAATTTTTTTTTTTCCATTGTAATCATTTATGAGTCATTAATTTTAACGGCATGAACGAAATGGCGTTTGTTCCGGCACGTTTTGGGGGAGAAAACTAGTAATCCATTTGCATCTTGTTCGGATTTCAATATTTTTTGGTAAAATCGCGGGCGTCAATTATCGTATTCGTACCCTTTAGCTCGGACCACGTGTATTTTGGGTTAGAGAAAATTATTTACATTTTTTTCAAGCCGCTAAATGTGGAAACGCCGGTCATTAGAGCATTATGAAAACCTTGTTTGAAAGCGAAAATGGCGGCCAACGAAAAGTTTTTCACACATGATCGATTTTCTTATTAACTTGACTCAGTATTAATATTTACATAGTAAATTTGCAACTTTATGTCGAAATTCAAAAAAAATTTTTTGCAACAATTAATGTTTATTTACTATGTGATCCGGAAATTGTTTTTTTTTTTTATCTATTGCGTTGATATTCTCAATGGAATTTTTTACGTTGTTAATATGTATTGTGTATATGATGTAAAGTTTTATAATGTGTATTTTTTATTTTATGATGTCACGTTTTTCAAGGAAATCAGTTTTATAATGTGCGTAACGATGAACTTGAACTAAGAATTTTTGTTAAATACAACTTAACCTTTATGTTTATACGTCCTAAGTTCTGAATTACGAAATATAAACAACAAAAATTTGCAAGTTAACATTAGTAAAGCGTAATTTTTATTTATTTATTTATTTTTTTTTTTTGAGAAAAACTTTTATCGATTTTTCAGCAAAATAGGAACACGACGTGGATTCTTTGACGCTGGCCAAACTAATATTTTTGTAAATAATTTAATATCTTATCAGATTAAATGAATATCGAATTTTATTCTCTTTTTTTTATATATATATTTTAACAGCTTTGGATTTAGAAAAAATTTTCGTTCGAGATAACAATATTTTTGGAATTTGGGTAAGCATTAGATTCTAATTTGTAGAAATTAAAAATTTGGGTAAGTTTAAATTTTTAAAAATTTATTTTAATATTTTTATTCGTTGGCCTCGTGTTTTCGTTTCTAAACTGCTTCTAAAAGTAACCTTTTTTTAATTTATCGTGGATTTATACAAGAAAGTTTTAGTAACAATATTAAATTCGTGCTCCGATCGTGAATAATTTAAAATAAAAAAAAACCGGCTTTCCACATTTAACAATAAGTAAAAAAATTTTTTATTAATAAGATTTGACTGACGTGTGGCATGTTATTAAATTAAGTTTAAGGTAAATCTTAATAAATTATTGAGTAGAATTATTTCCATTAAATGTAATGTCTTGTAATAATTGAATTTTTGTAAAGATCATAAATTTGTATATAAATAAAATAAAATTTTCCTCACTTCCACTATTCCCTTTAAAAAAAAAAGAAAATTGTGCATTTTGTTTTTTGACAAATAAAATAAAGTTTAATTTTGCCATCGAAAATTTTATATAAAAAATAATGTAACGCATCAATTGTTAAATTTGTAATTATACTTTGTGTATAGAATTTTGCAAAAAAAAAAAGAACTTTAAAGTTTGTATTTGGCCAACCAAGACTTATTCCAACATTGCTACTGAATTTTGGTTGGCCATTTTTTAATTAACATTGGGCTAAAATAGACTGCTTTGCCTGGAAAGTGTGAAAATGATCATTGTAGCCATACGAAAAAGTAAAAAATAATATTTAAAAAAAAAATAAATAAATAAAATAAAAAATAATTGTTCGAAATCAACGTCAATTTCAAGTCCTTCGTGTTTCGTCATGGCGCAAACACTGGAAGTCGAGTCAATTATCAGATCGTTCAGTCTTGCACAGACCTGCTACATCACGCGTAGAGTCAAATTCTGATTCCAATTGTCAATGCAATTTGGGCATGACCAAAAGCACAGTCACTAGGGCTAATCCGATTAAAAGTTTTGATAAGTCGGACTGCCATTAACCCAATTTATGTGGCTTTGGTCTGCAGGTGTCAATCGACCCATGTGTGTGAAAATGGTGGGCGACTCGCAACTGGCTAACTGAGATCCAATCAACAACTGAAAATCAACAAGAGACTGGTGCCTACGGTATTTATCACCAGCCCTAGACGATAAATTTTTGAAAAGATCAATATAATATCTCCAATACAAATAGCGACTATCACACTTGACAGAAACGTGAAAAATTTAAACACGTTTTTTGATTAATGCTATGAAATTGTATTACGAGAGATTAACTATCTAACTTGATGATTGAGAAAGATGAAAATTTGTTTAAAACAGATTAAAAAAAAAAAGATTTTCTTTTTAATACAAACGGAAAAAAAAACAAATTATCTTAAAGCTATTCAATGAAACTCGACTAACTTCTCGCGATATCCGTTATTTTTTTTTTTTCAATATATATAAAATTGATGTCTTCTACCTATTGTTAAATCTTTGGGCGAATCTGCAGTCAATATTCAACTTGGAAATAAAATTTTTTAAAAATTAAATTTTTGCTCGTAATTATCTTTAGGCGCAGCTGATTGTCAACTGGATAATTATATTTAATGCTCGTGTTAAACTTGATAAAGTTTTGCTAATTGTTGCTTTTTTTAATGCGGAATAAGTTCTCTCTTTTTTTTATATTAAAAAAAAACACGCACATATATTTAAGCGCACAAAATTGTGCCCTTTTTGTAAATTTGATCTTTTAACATGGCAGACAAAACACTTATACACACGTACACATCTTTCTTTTAACACTCATCATTACCAGGAGTTCATCCGAACGGTATGAAATTACTATTTCTACTAATACTAATTCTACGAATTTCTGTTTTTTGTCTCAATGATTCTTGTAAGAAAAAAAATAATAAAATAAATTGTCTTCGCTGCAAAGTATTATTCTATTCAAAATTTGTACAATTAGGATTTTAATGTTATATTTAAATAGTAAGTTTTACGAGTATTTCAATGAATAGCCTGAATTGAATTAAATTTGCAAAAAAAAAAAAAAAAAAAAACTCAAATTGCTTTGCAGGTTGGCTGAACATGTAATTTAAGATTATTATAAAAATTTGAGTTTTAGAGAAAAAAAAAAAGTTAAAAATAATGAGTAAACCGTAAATTTTTTCAAGTTCTTGTTAGCCAGGTGGTAGCTGGTTGTGGTCATATTTTTTACTTTGTAATTAAATTTTCAAATAATTGGTTATTGAAACCACCTGTTATATATAAATTTTTTTTTTACTTTTTATTGCAGATAATTTTTTATAGTTGCTGACATTTGAGAATTTGCCGTCATCAGAAGCCTCATTATAATAAATTGTATTTTAATTAATTAAAGCGTTAAATATTTTGCTATTTTCTCATTTATATAATATAAAAAGTTCAAATTTCTTTCTAAATGATTAGTTAGGAATTATTAGTTAATGTATTGATTTAAATTAACAGTGTTCTTTTTTTCTGTCCTATATAGAAAATTATTCGTTGGCGCACTTAGTTGGGAAACCACAGACAGTGAGTATAGTTTTACATTAATTTAATTTTTGTAAAATTTCATTTAAAAAAAAAAAAAAATTAAAAGAATTATTTAAATTTCAAAATTCGATTCAATTTGAAAAAATTTCGCAATGATGTTAATTTCCTTAGGACACCTTCAGACAGCAGAATGGCACTGTTGTATGAGACTATTAAGAATTTTTTACTGAGCTTTTTGAAAAAAGAAAATAAAAATAATAGTTTATTAGATAATATCAGAGACTATAAAATTGATTAATTTTTTTCAGAGGAACTCCGCGAATACTTCAGTAAATTTGGAGACATTGAAAGTATTAATGTGAAGACTGACCCCAATACCGGCAGATCACGAGGTTTTGCCTTCATTGTCTTCGCGAAAGCAGAATCTCTCGATAAGGTAAATATAAATGTTTATTGCTAACAAATACAAATTAATTATTGTTCATTACTTAATAACTTATTTTTGCATGAAAAAAATTAAAATGATGATTCATGAAAGTCAGTTCTGCTACTGAGTGGAAGTGAGGATAATCCTTTCTCTGAAGTTTTTCAAATGAATTAAAATTGTTTTTACTTTAACAATTAAATTTCGTTTATCTAATTATTTTTCTTTTTTCATTTTAGATCATGTCAGCTGGCGATCATGTCATTAATGGAAAGAAAGTTGATCCCAAAAAGGCAAAAGCCCGACACGGAAAAATTTTCGTTGGTGGTCTTTCTACAGAACTCTCTGACGATGACATCAAAACATTTTTCGGTCAATTTGGAAACGTAAGTATCTATTGTTTTATGATTTTCGATTCAGTGGGGAATATTTTTAAAATTATTTTAAAAATATTCATTTCGCAATGATGCTAATTTCCTTAGGACACCTTCAGACAACAGAATGGCACTGTTGCATGAGACTATTAAGAACTTTTTACTGAGCTTTGAAAAAAAATTAATTTTTTTTTTAAATTCCAGATTTTTGATACTAAAAGATTTTTTAATTTTGTGTTTGACAGATTGTTGAGGTTGAAATGCCATTCGACAAGACAAAGAATCAAAGGAAAGGGTTCTGCTTTATCACATTCGACTCTGAGCAAGTCATCAATCAATTGTTGAAGACACCTAAACAAACCATCAACGGCAAGGAAGTTGATGTGAAGAAAGCGACACCCAAACCTGATGGCATTGGAATGATGCGCGGAGGAATGGTACGAGGTGGACGTGGTGGACCACGAGGTGCCCGAGGTGGACGCGGTGGATTCCAAGGTGGTTGGCAAGGAGGTTATGGAACTGGTTTTGGAAGTGGTGGATACGGAGCTGGTGGCGGCTACAGTACCGGATACGATGGCTACTCTGCTGGTGGCTACGATTACTACGGCGGTGGGTACGGTGGCTATGGAGGCTATGACTACACTGGTTACGGTAAACTTTCATAACTTTCTCAGAGGACCTTAATATTTCAAATCAAAAAAAAAAAAAAAAAAAAAATCAAATTTCAATTTAAATGATCAATTAAGTTATTAAATGTTTCCGTATTTAATTTCTATATCAATAATCAATTTACTTGTAATTAAAACTTGTGTTTGGATATGTTTGAGAATTAATAATTTTTTACTCTCATAGGAAACAAATTTGAATTTGACATTGTCATCAAATCATTTGAGATTTAATGAACAATGTAAATTTAAAGATTATTATTTCTCTCAATTTTGAACATTGACATTTTCCTTGTTATCCTAATTCCATAACCAATTTTCACTTGAATGCAGTGCTTGGGAATTGAAATTATAATTGCGCTGTGAATTATTGTTTCCAATTTATCATTATTTAAAATAATTTTTAAAAAAATTAAATTACAAAATAATTCGTTTTAAAAGTATTAGAAAATTTTTTTTTTTATATACGTGGTACAAAAATTGGAGACTTTTTTTTTACAGCGCGTTTATTAACTTTAATATTCTCATTATATAAACTTCGACTAATTTTTATTGAGTGGAAAGCATACTCGACTCAGTTTTTTTTTTTGAGAAAAAAATGGAGAAAAGAAAATTGAAATATCCAAAAACTGTCGAAGTTTTTCTAATTTCTTTTATCTATTTTTTGTATTTTAACAAATAACATACTTGTGTATGTTTTAAAAATTATATTGTGCAAATTGATTTATTTTTTTATCCATCCTATCTTCTTTTAACATTTTTATGACTATATATTGCAAATTTATAATAATTTGAGTAAAATAATGTATAAAATATCCGATAATATTTATTCGAATATAATTTTTTTTTAATTTAAATATACCGCATATAAGTGTCTATTTTTTAAAAAAATCTACCAACAAGCCACTTTGAATTTAATTCTTTAAATTAATTTAAGAAAATTAGAGAAATGAATTATTTTTTAAAATTAGATTCGAAATATTATTGACTTATTCACTTAGCCATGTGTTCCATGAATCACAGATGGTTATGGCTATAGCAGTGGTAATTACGATGGTGGCTACACGAGCGGGCGTGGTGGTGCACGCGGTAAAGGTACGCAATAGCGTTCCTGTGTTACATTTTTTTTTGTTAGTATCCTTGTCTAGTAGATGTATTAATTAAATTCCTATTTTGTTCAGTGAAAATACAGAAACAATAATAATAATTTGTTGAAGTGGTAATTTTTCAAAACTAACTTGAAATGCGCCTTTCTATTTAAATGGTTAATTTTTTTTTAATTTAAAAAAATTAAATGAAAAAATTACCCAGATTGTAAATTCTGAAACAAATGATCTAATTTTCATAAACTTTTTAAATATTTTGTCAATATTATGAGTGACCTAATTTTGTTTTAATTAATTTCTTAACATAAAAAATAGAAGTAAATTTTGTTGAATAAAAAATGTGAATTATAACTTTAAAAAAATACATTTTCTGATTAGTATTTTTTTTTAATTTACAAATTTAGGAAAAAAGATCAAAATAATTAATTTACATTGAATTATACGTTAGAAAATAATTTCATATATTTTTTTTCAGCATAAAAAAGACAATAAAGTATTGTCTAATTGTTTTTATTGTTATGAAAATATTGAAAATTAATTTTTATCATTTGTTTCAAAATTACAAAATTTTATTTGATTTGTAAATTCTTTAAATGTTGTTTCTAATACAGTAATTGAAATTCAAACATTGTGTTTTTAAATTGTAAGTTTTAATCATTGATTTTTAATTTATGTTAAATTATGAAAAAATTAACTATTTAATAATTTTCTTTTTATTTAAAATATTACATTTTGAAAATGCAATTTCATTCAAATTTTATTAACTGTCATTGCTTGTTAATGAATCCCATCTAAATGAAACTAACACCGGTTGTTTGTATATCCTGCACGATTTAAATAAAAAAAAATATCCTTTCCTACAGTTTAAAAAAATATTGTCGAAAAGAGTTACACACTAGTAATGAATAAAGAAGAGGGGCTGTTAATCGGAATGCAGCCTACAGCTTACTACCTTAGCCTGTAGCCTCTAAATAGAATTTCTAATAATTAAGAGTATGCCATTTTTGATTCGTGTCTACAGCACTTGCTTTTACAGTAGAATATGTTTTCTTGTATTTTAGATTATCACGAAACGAAAATTTATATTTAATGAACGTTGAATTTTGTACTTTAAGATTAATTTCTTTTTGTTAATTATTCTTAGATTAATAATTAAAAGAAGATTGGGGTGGGTTCAAATTGTTTTGAACTAACGGAAAATTGGGGGTGTGTTTCAGGAGGCTCAGGCTTCGGCGGAAAGCAGAGGGGTGGTGGCAGAGGGAACGCAAGGCACCAACCCTATTAAAGGAAATCCCTTATTACAAGACCGCAATGCATTTCGCATTGTAACCGGTGAGTCTCCTAATTCTTCCTAAATGTCAATGTTTTTTCGTACACCTTAGTATCTTATTTTTTTTTTAATGGAAAAAAAATGAGGCAAAAAAATTTATTTATTTGCTATCTCTTTTTTTTCCTTTTAAAAATTCGATACAATAAAATAATAATAAAAATTTTCCTAGTTTGCATCTATTTCTGTTATTTATAATTTGTTTGAATTGGTGGCTGTAAGTTTGCTTTTTTTTAATTTTCAAAACTCTTCCTCGTATAATCCTAATCTAATTTTTCTTTCACCTAAAACCATGTTTTATCCTATCCTTAATAAATTCAATTAAAAGCACATTTAGTAATGTTTAAATTAAAAATTAATAATATTTATCTGAATTATGAAAATTTATTTAAATTTTAAAGATTTTACTTTCCTATTTTGGAAATTTTTAATTAGAAAAAAAAATTGTTAATTTAATGGGTCTGAAGATAAAGTTTTGGATGTTGATAGAAATACGAGAATCTAAATTTTTTTTTCTGTATAATTACAGGTTCCATGCCCTTCAATAAACCTCATAAATCGTCAAATCATCATTCCATGAAAAACCATCGCTCTCAATCAAATGTACAACAAGGTAGACCGTCACAGAGCAACTATCAAGACATGCAAGAATTCCAGGAGTAACTTTTTACTTCATATTGGCCTAAGATCGATTAGCTAGACGGATCTGTGTAAATTCATATATTTTTTTTTGTCCCTTTCTTAACTTTTTTTTCTTTTGTACAGATTGTAAATGTAAACTTTGCACTGTCAAGTGAATTTTTTTTGTTTGAAACTCGCTTTCAAAAATATTAATGAAACTTTTATATGTTTTTTTGGTTTAAAATTTAACTTTTCTTTTCATTCGAGATTCGTTTAAATGTCATCTCAGCTCTCCTGGTTTTGTACAGACAACAATGGCAATTTGAAACAAGTCAGCTGGCTGGCGTCTACACGTATAGCATTGATCCTATTTTAACGATAAGATAATTTTAATTTTGTCTATACATCTAACTTAAGAAACTACGATACGATAGCGAAGTAAGTAAGGCAATGTACTTTTACATGAAAATTAAGTCAATGCAAAGTCACAGTTGCCCACATGTTAATAAGAACTACGCGATCTTATCTAGCTCGAAAAAGAGATTATTGCTTTCATATGAATAAGAATAGGATTAAACTCCTTTAGTGTATATAAATAACCCTTACGATTTCTCGAAATAATATTGGCCTTTAATAATTAAAAGAAAAAATTAAAAAAAAAAGAAAAACTCGGTGTTTAGTATTTTGTTATTGTTTCCGTCGAAATTTAACAGAAGTGAGTTAAGGCCTTCAACACTGTTTTAATTTGAAAATGTCGATACTTTAATTCTGATTTGAAAAAAGTTGTTTCAACTTGTCTTCCAGTTAGAAATTTTATTAATGAAAATTTGAAGAAAAATTGTTAAAACATTTTCGGGTCTTAACGGTTCTTTTTCTTTTTTTTTTTTTTGTTAGATTGACACTGATTAATTGTAACGCCTTTTTCGTATTATGCGCAAACTCGGAAAGACTGTTTTTTATTTTATGGCTAAACATGAAATTTAGACAGTGGAATGTCTAACTTGATTCGAGCCTTAGGAATTTGTAAATTGTAAAATGCATCGGGTGAAAATGTCACTGGCAACTATTTAAATACATAAAGTGATGCATTGTAAACAGTTGTTTATTTATTTCACTTCCGTATTTTTTAATTAAACATGATTTCAGTATTAAGGAGTTCCAATTCCAATTTTGTAAATAACTAATATAATGGATGTTTCTTTTGGTGAATTAGATTTTAAATTTTATTAGGATTAATGAAATAACTTAATATTAATGAAATATAATAATTTTACCTTGTACATACATTATTGTTTTGTTTCTCCATGGATGAATTTTGCCGTATTTAATTTGTAATCCAAGTTCAAAATGTCCAGTTGCAAAATTATTAAGGAATGCAACCCGTCATACACTTCACTATCACTTTATTTTTTTTTCACATCACACAAATAACTTGGAATAGAATGACACAAAATAATTTTCAAATTAATGCCTTTTAACACTTAGTAATTGAAGCTTTCGGAAAACAGTTATTTTTTCAGGAAATTTGCAACAAGATGATTTTGTAGGCAACCCGTCGTACACGTAATTTTTTTTCACTCAATTTTACCAGATAAACGATTAAGATTTTTAAAAGAAATGATCAAAAATCAAGTCCCAGAATTTGCGTCAACAAAATTACACAACTTTTATAAAAAATCACAAAGTAATTCTCAAATTATACTTGAAAATAGAATTGACTTTGCTGAAGCACTCTCCCGCCAAATCGAAACTTAACCGTTTTGCACTCACTTTCACAAATCGAACATTTTCTCTTGAAGTAGTGATTTATTTTTTAAAATTATTATTCCACTTTAAGTATTTTTAGTTATGGCATCGAAATCTAGTCGAATTTTATTAAATCATTCGAATAAATACACTTTTTTTGATTAAAATATACCGGACATCGCGACACGTACGTTCGAACCGAAGACGAAGGAGAATTCCACTGATCAAAACAGAATAGCCAACATAAGACTAACAAATTTTTCTACTTTTACTGTATACCGTTTAACAAAAATATATTACAACTATTAAGTTTAAATATAATAGATCAACACGTTAAAATAATTAAAAATTAATAATATTCAATTATCTTATAAGAAAATCAACAATATATTAATTTTTTGATTTTATTATCTAGAGATTTTTTTTTTTCATATTGTTACTACTGAAACTAGTGTTTTTAGAAATTTAAAAATTACGCATCTTATTTTAAATGTTATAAATGTTTCAAAATATGAAAGGATAATAATTTTTTATTATTCTTTTAAAAAAAAACCCAAATTTTTCTTTTTTATAACTAATTTCTTTTAAATTCTTACTGTTTCTTATAAGTTTCAAATTATAATTTGAATAGAAACATTTTCATGGCGTATGTTGTAAAATACGTAACTATGTTTGTAATACATACGCAAAATACTGCAATATTTACGTAAGTCTCGTTAAATATAATAAATAATGATTTTTTATTGCAAATGTTTAGATTTATAAGAGTAATCATTCTTTAAAATAAAGTTAATAAGTTAAAATATTATTAAAATTAAATTTCTATTGTTAAAAGTGTGATTTAAATAAAAACTAATTAAATTTTCAGGCGAGAAAAATTATACAGCAAGATGGCACTAGTGTCGTAATTTCGTTGTCTGTTCACTGTTCTCAATGACCGGCTCCTTTTTGGCGTAGGTTCCGTGCATGTGCTGACACCACGGGTGCATCAAGGATTCGCACACCGAACTGTTTTTATAATTAACGTTATTGTGAATTGTTTTTACTCGCAAGAATTTTCCTTTCCTTTTCTCAACATTCTTAACTATCGATTACTGAAGTGAGCGTTGTGGCGTGATAGTGTTCCAAAGGTGAGTTCTAGAATGTAAGAGATCGGCTTGCCGATGCTTTTCCCTGATACTTCTAGGAGGGAAAGCAATGGAGAAGACGATGATCCTCTAAATTTATAAATTGTCATTCAATTCATCTTTCTTGTGGCCTTGAGTCTCAAACCTTTCACGAAAAAATTATCAAGTCCTCCAAATATGGTGTACCTTCATCCTTTTTCTTTAATTGACACCGGAGAATATCTACCTTTACCGCGTCTAAATCAGAAAAATCGCCATGCTTGATCCATACAACCGGGCAGCTCCCCTCACCTTCGGCCTCGATAACGCTTCGATGCTTTAAATCACTCAAAATTTTTATTTCAACCCAAAGGCAAATGTTTTCTGTTCAATTCAAAAACTTTTCAATGTAACATTCATTTTCCTCTTTCTTTGTCAATAAGTAGCAATAGAATTCGTATGATTTTGAGAAAAAGTAATTATGCGTCGCCAATCGTACACGCGCCTCTCCTTTGTGAATTCATTTGCTTTCAGAAATTATTTTTCTAGAATCAGTTTTCAAAAAAAAGAATGGTTTGCAAATTTTCGAAATATATATGGAATTCATTCTCGAATTAAATGCCATAATGAAAAATTATCTTATTTATTAAGCTTCATTATTAATTATTTATTTATTAAATTTTTTTATTCAGAATTTGTTTATTGCTATGATATTTTAATTAATTTTATTTTTTATATAATATTTGAAAAATCCTTTTTCTGATTACATTTCATCTTTTCTTTTTAATTTTAATTATTTCACCTGTTATTGTAAAATTTTAAACAACACTCAAAATTTATATGACTTGAATGACTCATTCCCTTTCATAATAAGAAAAACTGATATCTACTTCACAATTTGGCTTGTGTGTATTTTAAATAATTATAAACTGAAATTTAAACGTTGATTTGTGTATTTGTTTGAACTACAAAAGTTCTTGAATAGATTTCAATTTATTTATCAATTTTTATGAATTTCCAGCTTAATACCTATATCAATTTAAGTATATGACGATAAAATTTATTAATAACGTTCCAGTCATTTCTATGATAAAGTAAACTTGAAAAAAATCATTTTGAATGCACTTATTAAACTTTGATTTATTTTTGTTGAAAAAATAAATAAATAAAATTTTATTTTGTGTAATTGGGCAAATTATATGAAGAAATTAATTATATATCAAAATTGTTAATTTTGTTTTCTTTTTAATTTTCAGACATCTGCCTTAATAATTTTAAGACTGCTATTTTGTGATCTTTGCAAAAAAGTTATTTTAGAAACTAAAGACACACGTCGTCAGACACGCAACGCATTTTAACAAATATTTCGAGAAGAGTAGAAGAAAATCAGCAGTAAAGAAAGGAAATGGTCATGGAGGCATCCCCCTCACCACAATGTGTCGGTCGTGAGTTCGTCCGACAATACTATACTTTACTGAATAAAGCACCGAATCATCTACACAGGTACTTGTTGGCACATCATTTTGCTATTTTTATATTTTAAATTAAAAATTCACGAACTAATTTAAAAAAAATTTGAACAGGTTTTATAATACAACATCGTCATTCGTTCATGGAGGTCTTGATCAGCCAAATAAGGAAACGAAACCAGCGATCGGTCAAAAGCAAATCCATCAAAAAATCCAGCAACTAAACTTCCGTGACTGCCATGCTAAAATTACCCAGGTTGATTCGCAGGCCACACTTGGCAGTGGAGTCGTTGTGCAGGTAAATAAAACAAAAAATAAAAAAATAAATAAAGCTAAACAAAAATTGAAAAAACTATTAAACAAAAACAATTTTAGGTTTCGGGGGAACTTTCGAACGCTGGACAGCCAATGCGCCGTTTTACTCAAACATTCGTTCTCGGTGCTCAAGCACCGAAAAAGTACTACGTGCACAATGACATTTTTCGATACCAGGACTTTGGCTATTCGGATGAGGAAGAAGGTGAACCAGAAGGCGTTGAGGGTGCATTGATTGAAGTTGCCGAACGTGAAGGCGAAGAGGGAGTTCGCTCTGAGCCTGAGGAAGAGGAACAACAAAATCAACCTCAACATATTACAGCACCAATTTCCGGCTCTGAACAACATACCGTGATTCTCACTCAACCACCAATCGCTGGACAACCTCTTTATTATCCACCACCGCCACCACAACACGTGATGACACCAGTGATCAATGGTTCAGTTCATGAGGATGCTTCTCTGATTAATCAACAGCAACAACAACAGCCGTCTATTCCATTGCCTCAACAACCAGTTCAAACGCAACAACCACAATATGTTGAGCCCGTGGTGCAAGAGCAATTCTCACAGGAAACTGAGACAACATCTGCCACAGAACCACAGCAAGTTACTGAAGATGAACATTCCCAATCTGTCGAAAGTATTGAGCAAACCGAAACTGAAAAGTTTTCAACACCAACTGCCGAAATTGTTCAAGAAAGTTCACCGGCCAACACCAGTAACAGTGGACCGAAAACTTACGCCAATTTGGTAAAGTCCTTTGCAAGCTCACAGGCAACACTCACAAACACTCAGCCACAGAAAATGTCCATGTCACCCGTGAGTTTTATTTACAATTTTTATTTATCTAATTTTGAAATTGATTAGAATTTTGAAAATTAATCATTGAAAACTTAAAATTTAGCCACCCATGTCGAGTATGAAAGTGGAAGAAAAATCACCATTACATCCATCTAGTTCGGGTCCTTTGACTTCAAATACGAACGTGTCAGCCAATCAACAACAACCCCATCGTGTTAATGCCAATCAACAACAATCGTTACACCAACCACAACAACAACGACCACCACGCAGTGGCCCTATGCAACGAGGTATGATTTTCTAATTATAATTAGTAATTTTAATAATTAAAATAAAAAAAAATAACAAATTCTAAAAATTTCAGATGGAGATCGACGAAGCGGCAGGCCAAATCCATTCACGGATGCACATCAACTCTTCCTCGGCAATGTACCACATCATGCAACTGAATTTGAACTTCGTCAATTATTTGAACGTTATGGGAAAGTCGCGGAATTACGCGTTCACAGTAAGGCAAATGATAGGAGCAAAGGTCCACAGGGATCAAACAGCGGTGTACGCGTGCCCAATTACGGTTTTATTACCTTTGAAGATTCAACTGTTGTCGCTAAAGTATTGAACGATCTTGTAAGTTTCAATTTATTTAAAAAAAAAAAAAATTTCTTTTTTACCCTCACCGACACATCGTTCTTTCTTTCATTAACAGAAAGAACGATTCTAGGTCGAGGAAGAGCAAATTGGACAGTCTCCACTTTGGGTTGCGTTATTTAGCAACGGCCAAAACTAAATCCCTGTCAACATTTCTTCCACTTATAAATCGATTTTTTTTAATATTATGCTTTATTATCCCTTTTTTCCTTTAATAAAAAATTGTAGAAAACGAACAAAAACCTGGGCAAGTAACTAGAAAAATGATTTATTTTTGATAAAATTAATGCTTATGTAATTAATTTTGTAAATTTCAAATGGAATCTTAATTATTTTAATTTTTTCCTGATACAAGTATTTATGCTAATTTCTCTATTTTAGCCGATTTACTTCCCGGATGAGAATGGACAAATTAAATTAAATGTCGAAGAAAAGAAATTCAAGTCCAATAGGATGTCGATGGAAGGCAGTGGAAGGTCTAATCCTGTTGATAATATGCGCTCAATGGGTGGACAACAACAACGTGGACCTGGTAATAATACTTTATTATAAAAAAAAAAAAATTACTCACCTCACCGACACAATGCTATTTTTTCCTTCCCTTGAATTAGCATTTCACGGTTGAGGTATAACAAAGACAATCTCCACTTTGAGTTGCGTTATCTAGCAATTATCAAAACTAAATCTCTGTCAACACAATTTTTCTAAAAAAAAAATATTCTATAGAAAAAAAAATTTTTAAATCGCCAAAATAATAGTGAAATTTTTTTTTACCCTTGTAATAATTGAATTTTTCTCAGGTGGTATGGGTGGAATAAGAGGTGGATCACGAGGCGGACCACGTGGAAGTTATTCTCGTGGCGGTGATGGTGGACGAACTGGAGGTGGTATGAGACAGCCGGGAAATCCAAACAATTCAAATTATGCAAACCGACGCTAAACATCTGATGACATGGCGCTTCGACTTCTTGGGATAATATCAGCACATTCTCTGAAAATATCAGCGGTACCTAAATCACCAAACAAAACATTCTGTCAATATATTTAGAAAAAAAAAAAAAAATCTTATTGCGACACGCGAGACGAAATATATATCTCTCTCATACATCAATTTTTCCAAGTAACGTGCCACATTTTTGGAGATTTTATCTCCTTTTTGTCAATATTTTTTTTTGTTAAATAACAAATTGAAATTGAGAGAGAAAAAGAGAATTTTTCTTTATATTTTTTTCACTCGCATGTCGTAACGGATCGCGGCAATAACAGACCACGGTACAAATACCGTTCTCTTTTTAATTTATCAAACAACCAGCAGTCTTTAAAAGTCAGCTGATCCATTTTTTTGAATTTTTTTCACACTAATAACTAGAAAGATTTTTTTCAGTCGTAAAAACAAATTTCAAAGATAAAAAGAGACTGAGATTCACGACTGATAAATCGGTCGCAGAAAAAAAGACAACTCATCATACATATACACACTTTTCATGACACATTTTCACAAATTGTCGATCGACCGGTATCGATCTTCAAAATGTATCTCAATCCTTCAAACTGCAGCTGGACTCTAGCAGTGCATTCATTTTTTTTTTAAATCATTAATCTTTTTTTCTGATTTGGACTTTTATAATCTAGGTCTCTTTTTTTCTTCGAAGTTCAATATTTTGATGATGATGATGAAAAAAAAAGAAAACTTTCTTTACCTATTTCGTATTTGGCCTTGTCGATTAAGACATCGAAAAAAAATAAATGTTTTTTTTAAAAGTCTGTTTTATCTGCGCCTACTTAGAAACCATTGGCAAATTCGGCGTCGATTAATTATTTGTTAACTAATATTTAATATCGTAATTCCGTATTATTAACGACGCTCGTGAAAAAAAATTATTGGAATAATTTTCACACTTATATATAACACACAAACGGCTACGGTATTCATAAATTTAATGCCGCTCAATATCATAAACAAAAAAAAAAATTTATTGATACCGATCCTGTTTTTGTTTAGACTTAGATAGAAATAGACTTAATAATTTCTAATGGACTTGCTTGAATTAAAAATTCAAATACGATTTACATGTACAACATTTTTTTCCATCGACGAATAATTTATAAACGTACTTTTTATTCATTAAAAAAAAAAAATATGTTGTTTTTGTTTTCTAGTAAGATAATAATTTTAGCGAATTTGTTGGTCGAGATGAAATATTTCTAATCGCGATAAATAATTGACTTTTTGTTTTTATTTAATTAACGAATTTTAAAGTTTATATATTTATATTCAAATAAATTATTGTGTATCTTTTTTTCAATAGCGGTACATGAAGTTGACAGTAGTTAATTATTTCTAACTGAACATTTTAATGTTTTTTTTTTTTTTTTTGTTTTTGCAATTTTAGTAGCAAATTTTCTAGTCATTTTTTTTTTTAAATAAACTTAATGATAAATTCGTTATTTAGCGAATAAACAAAAAAATTCTCGACCGATAAAATCGCTTTTGTTTAAACTATTTAAATGACATATTTAAGAGAAAACATATAATTAGTCTAATTTTTAAGACGGTTCATCAGTGAAAATAAATATTTTGTCCAATGTTGATATTGGGAAAATTTTGAAAAAAAAAGTTTTTTTTTACCTTTTTCTTTTTTACTGCCTATTTTTCCAAAATATTTTTATAAATTTTTTTTAACTTGTCGATATTTTTTAACATTTTCATGAGTTATTTGCAAAAAAAAGTTCTTGTAATCTTTTCTTTTACATCTAATTGCAAATATTTTAATAATTAAAAATTTGGTAGTTAAAAAAAATTAAGACTAAGAAAATTAATTATTAAATTATTATCACTATTAAGAAATTAATTTAACTTGTAAATGTATAGTTTGAAATTTTTCTTAAATTAATGAAGAAATTTTATAATTATATTTTCTTATTACTTAATTTTAATTAATGTCGATAATAGATGAACTGTTTGAAAAAAATTAGACCAATTTCACGGAAGCTTTAACTATATAAATATTCGTCTCTCGGTGGATCATTTTTGAAGCAGGGGAGGCAAAAAGTCTGACTTTTCGTCTCAATAATTTTCTATAAAACAAATGTAGGTGCTTTAAATAAATTTTTTAAAATAAAAAAAAAAAAAAACACGGAAAATACATAAACGCGCTGACAGAAATTGAAATTGGTTTCTAAGAGAAGCCGAAGTGAAATTCGCTTGTTTAATAAAAAAAAAAAATAATAATAACAATAAACAGCGATCCAAGAGCATCACGCTGTGATTTCAAGTCTAATAAGTTGGACTATCGAGAGGCGTTCTTTTTCTTACTGACCCTGAAGACTAATAGTCTGTACTAAACTTCTAATATTATAGTTTGTAATAATATGGAATACGTTGTGTCGCTACGACTAAGCTGTGACCATTTTTTTTTCCTATAATGCACTGTAAATGTCGCTCCATTATATATATATTTTTTTTCCATTTTTTTGTGTCAAGAAAATAGGAAACAAATTTTACAAAGAAATTCTGAATCCAACGAGTCACAACTTGGAAGTAGCTTTATATATAAATATATATTTAAAGAAAAGACGTTTTCGCATCGTTAGGAAACAAATTTTTTTTGTGCACACATCTTTCTGACAATTCTTGTTAAACGCTTCTCTTGATACTTTATATTATATATAAATATATACGAATAGTTGCCAGATCTATGTACGCTTAATTAATTGACTTTTGTTACAAATAGAGATAGAGTGTGAGAGTGAAAGTGAAAGTGAAAGTATCATAGGTCTAAGGGCTACATTATTGTCAGCTGTTAAGTTTATCTTGACTTGTTTTTTTTTCTCATTTTTAATTAATTTTTGTAAATTGTTTTATTTGTTTTAGAACTTGCGTATATATATATATATATGGTTCATTGATGAATTTAAATTCTCGAAGAACAATAAAATAGATTTGTGTGTACATTTTTTTAAATCGATCTCAATGATTGGATAAAAGAAATGACGTTTATGTAGAATTCATATTATTATTTTATTTGTATTATTAATGAAATTTTAGTAAAAAAAAAAAAACTACTTTGTTTTATTCAATGAATTAATAAATATCGGTTGTTAAAAGAAAAAAAAAGTGCACAAAAATCTGATGCAAAGAAATTCTGTGAATAGATTTGCATTTAATGGTTTTTTTTTTTTAATAGGTGAGAGAAAATTAGAAAACTTAAATAATTAAGAGAAAGAAAAGTAACTTTTGTAGGATTTTAGTTAAATCGTGAATGACAAAGAATTATTTTGTTAGGTGAAAAAAAAAATATGGGAAGAATGGAATCGTGGAAAACGCTTATTTTACTAGTCGGAAGAGAGGTGCAAAAAAGTTTTTTGATTAAAAAAAAATTGAAGGGAAAAAAAATTATGATCCTGCGATGCGAAATCGTCTATACTATACAGAAAAAAAACTCAGTAAATTTTTAGTGTGAATGTTTTCTTTTTTAAGTGACTATTAAGTAATATCTTTAAAAAAAAATAATAATTATAATATTAACTATGAACGAAAGCAACAGGAAAAAAAGAAACACAAATAATGGATAATGATTATTATTAGAACAATTTATTAAATTAGAGAATGATGATAATTAAGTTGTGAATTTTTGTAGCATACATTTTTAATTTGTGTGTACAACCGTGGACAACGTTACTGCGATAAAAGTATAATGTTAAAGTAAAAAAAAAGAAAAAAAAAAGTGAAAGAAAACCGACAAACGTCAAATGTATTGTAACTTTTTGCATTTAGTATAATATATCTACCTTATTACAACCCGTAATTAAATATTCTTATTCGTTGCAAAACACCAGGTCCCATTCTTCTGATGAGCCAAGTTTTGTTTTTGTTTCTTTTTTTTATCTTTTAATATAATTAGAAAAATTGAGATTTTGTTGCTTTGTATTTTTTGTGTTTTTTTTTTTGCGTATTTTTGTAAAAGCAGAAACTGTTGTTTTGGTTTATATTTGTAATTTTGTTTTAACACGTAATTTTTTAAATTACTTTTTGAAAAGTGATTTAATTTTTACGTCTTTGTTATATTTAATATGTATTTTTTTTATTTGTAATCGATTTTTTGTAAAATTTTATAATTTGTTTTTTTATTAATGTAAATTTTCTTTCTTTTAAGAATTTCATTTGTAAATTATGTCTTGGAGGATTTAACAATATATTCGCAAATAGGTGAGTGAAAATTTAATTTATAAAAATATGAACTGTTATTTTTTTTATTAATTATCTAATTAATATTAATAAATTTATATAATTTTTCTATTTTCAGCAATTTTATTTGATAATTTAAAAATTCTCAATTTTATTTTACAATTTGTTTGCATTAAAATTAATTTTAGAAATATTGAATATTGAGTGATTAGAATATTTTTTTTTGCAGATTTAGATAAATGATTATTTTCTGAAATAAAACAAAGAATGCACATCGTCGATTGTCATTGAACATCAATGGACTTGTTGCATAAGACGTAAGCAATAAATATATACATATATCGACTGTTTAAAAAAGAAAGACGATAAGCTGGAGCGCATGTGGCAAAAAGATCAAACTGGGGTTGGAAGAACGATGAGATCATCTTGAAGCAGAAAGACTTCTGGACTTATTAACTCAACTCAGACTCTACAGTTAGTACCGGTCCCTTGACCGTTTCGGATGATTTTCTTCTTTTTCGTTCGCCGCGAGTAAAACAAGAGAAGCTGCAGAGAGAAGGACCAATTTGTTCAGTAAACTGGAGAACCGACCACTGTGAGTTGATAATTTTTCCATCTCTTTCATGAAAATCGATCAATATTGATTTTTTTTTCTATTTTATCAATCAGAAATTATTTGATTTTTGAAATTTTTATTTATTTAATTTAATCTGAAGATTTATTTTAATTTTTGAAACGTGATGAGATTTAAATTTTTATATTATTATTTGTGGGAAACAAATCTTTCTCATTCTGATTAATGAACAATCTATTTTTCTTAAATTTTATTATGATAAAACGAATTTTTTTTTTCCATGACAATTGTAACTTTTATATTCATCAAATTCGCTCAAATGTTTCCATATTTAATATTAAAATATTGTTTTCTAAAATTAAGGAATTATTTTATTGCAATAGAACAAATAATTCGCTTTCGATTGGTAATTTTCGTAAATTATTACTGAAACTGTTAAACATTTTAATAAAATCTTAATTGTTAGTGCGTTTTAATAACTGGATGAAAATTTTACTAACAAGTTGAATAAATTTACTTAGCACTATTATTATTATGTATTATTATTTTACACAATATTTTATATATGTTATAATTAAAATATTTGTAAATTGTATTTTATAATTATTTATAACTAATCAAATATTTTATAAGAATTTATAAAGAGGAAGATTTTATAAATTCTCGAATAAATTGAAAAATAAATAAAATTAAGATTCTATTAAAATGTTATTAATAATTAATTAATTGTGGTTCTATAAGAATCCGTTTCAAATTTTTGACGATTTATTAATGTTTATTTATAGAAACAAATATTAGATTCTGGGTTCTTTGTGGCTGCGGGAAAAGATCAGAGGTTACTTGATGTGTGTTTATTTAAAATTATAAACGAGTATTCATTAAATAAGCATAAATGAACGCTTTATATATTTAAACAACAAAAAAAAAAGACAGGGCCACAAGAAACAGGAAGTGAATCCCTTGCACTACTTGTGCATATATATGATTTCAGTTTGTGGGCGTTTCCTTTTCTTATCTAAACACATGGGAAGTTTATGTATTTTCATTCCCTAGAAGTTTCAAATCTATCAGTTAAAAAATCATGTCACTCAAAACGGAAGTTCAAAACTTATTCATAAATCTGACACTATTTCATCTTCCTCCCTCCGATTGTGTTCTACTTTTTTCCCTCACTTTTATTAAAAGTATAAAAATTTTAATTATCTTTTACATTCTTATTTATAATCAAGATTGTTTTTAATCCATTGCAATTTTAAAATGATAGCCAAATTATTTTATATATTTCTTTATAGATTTTTGCTCTAAATTTTTTGATCTCTATAATTTTTACATATTTGTAAAATTATAAATTTTTTATTCATTCTATAGAAAATATTATCATTTATTTTTTTGAATTAAGAAAATTATTAATGTAGAATTAAATTTTTTTTTGCTGCATACAAAAAATTGTCTTCAATTCTATTGAAAATTTTTTCCGAGGGGAAACTTAATTTTTTTTTTAAATAGAGAAGTGGAAAATTTTTTCTTTTGCAAATTATAAAATTGAGAGATTCAGTTCAAATTACAAATGATTGAAAATTTCCGGCGAAATTTCTAAAATTAAAGTTGTGCGTTTACATATAGGTATATATGTATACGGTGGTCTATAAAGAGAGAATGTGTAGTAATTCCTTGCGTTTTATATAAACATAAAAAAGTAGTCCTCTGGTGTGATAAAAGCAGAGAATGCGTAAGTTCATTTTACATTGGATTTTCTGATAAATTGTATTGCTACGCGGGAACACGTGATCAACGATTTAACCCGGGGCGCGTGGGATGAAAAACCCTGTTGGCAGGTCGCAGAACGTACAACGAATGTACATTTCCCCGTTCTCGATTCTGCGTCCTACGATCATATATAAAATATTCTCTCTGGACGATTTGATTCAACTTCGCGGCTTATTATTCTTTAGGAAGGATTACGTGTAGGTTGGTGTTGATGAACATCATGTTTGAAAATGATTGGATACATCAGCATCATCGTCGTGAAAATGACATAAATGCTTCTATGTGTCATTGTTAATATTATATATACGTAAAATGTCGAAAGACGTGTTAAAAGTTAAATTTTTAACAAGACTAAATAAAATTCGCAGATCTAAGATATTTTCTATTTTTTAAAAATATATTATTTCTAGATTTTAATTAGATAAATAATTAATTGACCCATTTCAATTTTTCAATCCTTCTAAATTTAAATGCGATTTTTATTACTCTCGTATTTCTAAAGCCTTTCAATTTTATTTTGTGTTTTGAATTTCGAGTGAATATATTTTTAAAGCTGAATCTACGTAATTTTTTAACGCTATTAATTTTTAATTTGAATTCTATATATTATTTGTCACCTATTTTATAAAATGTAAATTACTGTGTGGGAAAAATTTAGAAAACCTTTCATTTTCGTTGTTTTACTGGAAATAGATACTTAAAAATTCAACTTGTATTACTGGATTTGTTGGCCGTGTTCCAATCTATAATTTCTACACCGGATGTCTAGTTAAATGCCCTAAAACAAGGTTCACGAACTCCTATTACAGATTTGTTCTGTGTATATAATCATTTTAGACAATTTCCTCTATTTTGAAAATACGATAATTGAAATTTCAAAATTTGATTGAATTTATAATTAATGAACAGGAAAAGAGGAAAATTGTTACAATTGAATTAAAATTTAATTAAAAAATGTGAATTTATAGAGAAAATATATATTTTTCACTGATATATTTGAAATGATTAAAATAGAGCTCTTGTTTTTATGATCAGAAAAATAGATGTTTCCTCACTAGTTTGTCTGATGCATAAAACAAATCTTGAAATACACACCTAATCCATCGATAGCGAAAACTATCCCATTTTTTTTCAAGGATTAAACCCACGCGTTCAGGGGAAAAAAAATCGTTTGTTCAATATAAATCATTAACGTAAAATCCTCACGATTTTTCACGTAATCCTTAAGAATAGAATATTGAAAAAAATTGGTTTAGAATATAAATTTTTTTAATAAAAACAAAAAATGTTAAGAAAGGCAAAAATATTAAAATTAAATAATATTATTTATATAATAGTTTACGTATAAATTTATTTAAAAATTGTAATTTGTTCTTTTTTTCCATAATCTTTCTCGGAATTGGGTTATCTGTTCGTTGTGTCCATTAAGACATCTCAAGATTTATCAACTGCCGTGGTGACCCTAAATTGTCAGAGATCCTCGAATTGGATCTGTTCAAAGATTTTAATAAAAGAAAAAAATGGAATTTATATAGAATCGTGAAATTACGGTCACAGACACAAATTCATTAAAAGCAAATTAATAATATCGATAAATGTCCCCATTCAGTGGTCCAGAAAGAGAACGCGTTGTCTCGTTAAATAGCAATATACTAATAATTTGTTAACTACGCGGAAGAGTTCTGTTGAATGCAATCGAATAGATTGCGCATATATGTATATTCTGTTGCGCTAATTAATATTAGTTCATTTTATGTTTCAGCGCATCACAATGAGGTCGAAATTTCAATTGGTCATTATCGGATTTGTCCTATTTGCTCTTCTGGTTCTTGATTCTTCTGAGGTAATTGTCAAAATTTCAATTATTTAGAATAAACTTTTTAATTTATGCATTTAATTTTAAATATTCAATTAATTTACTTTTTATATACGAATAAAAAATGAAGCTCAGAGAATTACAATTGAATTTTATGGGCATTTGCGATAAATAATTTGAGTTGAGGGTTAATTTTGTAAATTACAGGGTAGACGAAACAGTCGTCGTCGAACAACGACACAAAAGCCAACTCTACAGGATGAGATGATGAATATGCTCGAGGCGGATGAATTAGTCGAGGATGCTGAAAGATCTATGGCTAAGGATGATGATAGTCGAATGAGGCCAATGCCTCTTCAAGTTGATCCATGTCTCGACAAGCATTGTGGTGCTGGACGAGTTTGTAAAGTTAGTTTTTTTTTTCCTTTTTATCAATAATATAGTAAAAGAATTTATTTTGAATTTATTTTTAAATTTATTAAATTAATTAAAAATTTTCATTAAAAGTTAGGATTGAAAATTAAATTTTCAATTTATTAAAATTAAGAAAAAATTGGATTTTTTTTGAAATTGTAATTTTATAGAAGAATATATTTTTCAGATATCAGAAGAAGGAATGGGTGAATGTGTTTGCATAGAGAAATGCGATGAAGAAATCGATCCCAGACGTAAAGTTTGCACAAATTACAACGAAACCTTTGGCAGTGACTGCGAAGTTTATCAAGCTCGTTGCTTTTGCGATTCTGGAGATTCTAGATGTAGAGGTCCTGATTATCAGCATATTCACATTGAATATTACGGCGAATGCCGTCAAATGCCAGTAAGTTTAAATACATATCTATTTTTCATTTGTTTCTTTTTGTTTTTATTATTTCGATTATTTTTTATAAATTTTATTATTTAAAAAAAATTAAAGCATTAATTTCCTTTCAATTTTAATTAATTTGTAATTAGAATTATTAACGAATTTTATTTTTATATTTTAAATACATATTTCTAGTGACTTTTATTTTTAACAATTTTTCTTTTTACAGGCATGCAAAGAAGAAGATATGCTTGATTTTCCAAGGCGAATGCGTGACTGGCTTTTCAATATTATGCGCGATTTGGCCGATCGTCAAGAGCTTCCGTCACACTATTTGAAAATGCAAAGAGAGGCCGAAACAAATCATACACTTCGTTGGTCGAACGCCGCAATTTGGAAATGGTGTGATCTTGATGGCCATCCTCATGATAGAACTGTTTCACGACATGAACTTTTTCCAATTAGAGCACCTTTAATGGCACTTGAACATTGCATTGCGCCTTTCCTTGATTCTTGCGATGTTAATGACGATCACAAAATCAATCTCACCGAATGGGGAAAATGTCTACAACTTGAAGAGGTGTGAAATCTCTAATTTTTTTCTCTAATTTTAACTATTTGAATACTAGAATAATTTTGATATTTTTTTTCAGAGTGATTTGGAGGATAAATGCGATGAGTTAGCAGATGCTGCGGGAGAGCAATAATAAAAATTGATTACAGCGTTGTGTCAGAATCAGATCCAAAAAAAAGGAGAAAAGTGAAAATTAAAATGAAAAAAAAAAATTGAAACGATTTATTTAAAAACAACGTACATTGGAGAGTTGAGACAATGATTGGACATGCGCCGTATTTCAAAATGAACAAACTGCCATAGTTACGATTCTACAAAAAACTTTTTTAGAACAGTTTCCATTTTAACAGTCATATAACACTGCATCTCCTTTCCTAATTTTCCTTTTTGTAAGTACCAAATTCTATTTCCTATATACAAATGAAAAAATCTTTCCTTTCATTACAGCAAATTATTTTGATTTTTACTTTTTTAAAAAAACAAACGTGCCTTATAATCATGAGATTTTTCAAATAAAATATGAAATAATATATTTCGTATTACGTATATGTTGATTATATGAACATTTTTTGAAGAATAGTTAAATTAAACATTAATTAAACTCAAATATATCGAAAATATAACATCTTTAATAAATAATTAAACCTCGCCGTATATATTTCAAATAAATAAAAATATTTCACAACTTGATTAAATATTAAAGAAATATTTTTCAATTAATAAAAGTTTCATTAAATTTAAATATTTTACATTGAAAAAACAATTCTTCAAATTTTGTTTAATTCATCAATGATATATCTTAAAAATGTTTATTGACCAAATATTTACATAATATAAATTTTCTTTTTTTAATTTGATAATTAGAATTAATTAATTTATATATTATTTACAAATTAATATATAATTTTTATATATTATTAATTATTATTAATTAATTATTAATAATAATTGTTAATATGCAAATAATTATTATTAAAATTAATTAATACATATTAATATTAATTTTGATAGAATCGAATACTTGGAATCGTATAAGATATAAATATTATATTAATATGAGATTTATAATAATTATTAATTAAGATAATTTAAGAATAATTTTAAAGTAATAAAACAAAATTGCAATTGATATGATGTTTTAAACATTTTGGAATTCGAGTAAAGAGAGGTCGGAGGGTTTAATATTCCTTCGCCTGTGCCCTGAATACTCTGAGTGGATCGATGCTTGGATGCTGTGTTGGCCTGGGCAATATATGTAATTTAACTCTTTTATGTATATATTCTACACTATGAAAATACCATAGTACCCAGAATATTACAGAATAAAATTCATATAGCCATAAATCACCATAGATGAAATAGTGAAATAGAAATTTAAACAATTTTTTTTAAACAATTAAAAAAAAATGTTTTTCCATTACTTCTTTAGGACACTTTTAAGTTCTATTTTTTTTACATGGGAATTTCATTTATTTACTTTTTCAATTTAGAAAAAAATATAATAAAAATAAAATATTAAAAATTAAGAATGAATATTTAATATTATAATTTAAGATTCATTTATCATTAATATATTATTATTTTATTAATAAAAGAATTAATTTTTTATTTAAAAAATTGATTATTTAGTTTAAAATAAAATTTAAACATATAATTTAACAAAAATCTGAAAGATTATTCAAATTTATTATTAAAAAATGGATTTATATTTATTCATATTAAAATTAATAATAAATATTTAAACTACATTGTTTTAGAATTTTAGCAGGATTAAAATTGTGAAATAAATTTATAGTTTGTGAAACTAAACATTCTAATTTACTGTTTATTTTAGTTGTTTATATTTTTATTACAAATATTTGTTTATGTTTCCTTTTTATTATTCTAATTAGTATTTATTTATTTTTTATTGTATTATTAATTACAAATTGTTTTTGTTTTTTTTAGTAAATTCTAAAGAAAGAGTGGAATTTAAATTTAAAAGAATGATTTAAATTTGCCACGAAAATATTGTCTTCAACCTGATTGGTGAGCGAAAGTCACGTGATTTGATCGCGGGACGCCAACAGCGCCAGCCTCATTTGGCGGGATTTTGCTTAGATTGGCGTCGTCTGTGGTCGTTTGTGCTGTGTGCTTGTCTCGTCTGTACGCAATTGTGAAGCTTCATTTAGCATAATGGTGAGTATCCGCGAGATTCCAGTTAATTACTGAGGCATCCATCATTATCAAGTGTATTAATCGATTCATCAGTATCTTGAGCATTGGCTCACCAAGTTTTGTGGTTGTATCTCGTAAATTAACCTGGATTTTCGTCTGTGAACAGGCTGGTGGTAAAGCGGGCAAAGACTCGGGAAAAGCAAAGGCAAAAGCGGTGTCTCGTTCAGCAAGGGCCGGCTTGCAGGTAAGTTTCATCTCAATTATTCAATGTTCATTATTGAATATTCACTTAAATTATCAACAAAATTTACTGCTCGTCTAGAATTATCTCTAAAATCGTTTTTTCTCCTTTGTCAATGATTTTAAGGTTAAATCGTTATTGGCGCGAAAAACTGCATTCATTTTTTTCCTATGAAATTGTGACAATTTTTTCATAATTGCGTAACTAATTGCCATTGATGGAAATAAATTTGATTTAATTTTAATTTGCGATTAATTTGCAATTAAATTAATGTTTAGTTAAATAAATATTAAGAAAGTCCTTTTTGTGTAAATTAAAATTAACTTAAGACGCTAAGGGACTCTTGTGTTTTCAAACAGGGTCCGTTTTCTTTCGTCCCCTTCGTTTGAATTTACATATTTGTTTAAAGTTTCAATTTAAATAATTCATTGTTTTAAATGATAAACATACTTTATATTTGATTCTATTTACAACAATATAGAGGAAATATTATTTTTAAATATTTTGACATAGATTTAAAATTGTTTGTGTAATTACTTAACATCTATCAACGTTTGGTTTTCGTTGAACTGTTTATCTTGGTGGTTCAATTATTTGATAAATTAGAAATAAAATACTCGATTTTTTTTTTCATTGTCAATTATAAAAATATTTGGTGTTTATGATAGAAAAATTTGAGAGGAAAAATTAATTTCCCAGGGAATTTAATAGAAATTTTCTTTTGAATATTTTTTGCGTTCTATTCATTTGAGATTTGAAGGCTATATGGCGAAACAGAGTAAATATTCAAGTTCATAAAATTTTAATTATAATTTTTGAATTAAAAGACCGGTTTTTTTTTTAATTGAAAATAGTTGAAAGTTTGTTTTAAAGTTTAATTTTTTATCAATGTTTTTTAAATTAAAAAATCTTTAAAAAGTCATGAATTATTTTAAAAGATATGTCGTTATAAATATCGGAACACGTCGTTCAATATTTTATTGGGCGAGAGTGAGAGAAAGAGAGAGAAAAGCTGCTGACGCTGGGCTGACAAATGTTTTTTATACGGACAGTAGCTTTGCTCACGTTCCACTTGGTAGATATTGGCCCTAACGCAGTGTGTTGATGCTTTCTGTTGGTATATAAACCGTTACGAAATTTAAAACTGGAAATTATTGAAGGGACTCTTTTTTTGTTATGATTTCAGTTCCCCGTTGGTAGGATTCATAGGCATTTGAAAAACAGGACTACTAGTCATGGACGAGTCGGTGCAACAGCCGCTGTTTATAGTGCAGCTATTTTGGAATATCTCACAGCTGAGGTTAGTAATTATTTTATTATTCTTTATACAGGATTGTGCTTGCAAAATACATTATAGCGTAACTCCGTAACCGTCGCTTTTCACTAAAAAAAACATGGCCGTTGTGGCGCGAAAATTCAAAACAGCTTCTTTTATCCGCTTGGCTTGTTTTTCTTTTCATTATTTTGTTTATTTAATTTTGGTATAAAAATATTTTTTTTTTATTTTTATGCATATTTATTTTATATAAACAATTATTATTTGAAAATTAATTAAATAATTTGCCAATTTATTTGACAAATTTGGAATATTTAAACAAATGACAAAAACAAGAGTAATTGAATTTTAATATTTTGTGCGAGTCATGTAATAATTTGAATTTGTTTTGTTGTGTAAAAACAATAATTTTATATAACGGAAAAAAATTATGAAAGATTATAAATATTACGTAATGACAACAAATCAATATCTGAACATCAGAGTAGCAATTTGTAAATTTATGTTTTTTTTTGTAAAATTTGTTTACATTTGAGAATATTTGATTAATTTTTTTTTAATCGGTTATTTAAAAATTCTGATTTTTGAATTTGTTTCTGTTGAAAATAATTTTAAAAATAATTTTTCAAAAATTTTTCTTTTTTCATCTATGAAGATTTACACACTTTATAGATTCCGAAATTGAATTTGTTTGAAAATAATTTGTTTTTTTTTTTTAAATTATTTTCCAAAAACGATTTTTTTTTTTTGACATCCTATGAAGATTTGTTTTTACATTCACACGTCGTAGTGTATTAGAAAAAAACTGAAATCCATTTTGTCAAGAGAGTTGGATCCCATAATTCTATATTAAAGTCAGAAGCTTTTAGTATGGTTGAAGAGAGAATAATGTTGAGTTAAGTTTCCTTTTTTATTTATTTTGTTGATTATTGATTGAAGCAGTTTCAAATGAGTTTCGACTGTGACTTGCCATTGATTAACATTTAAATTACAGGTATTGGAATTGGCGGGAAACGCATCCAAAGACTTGAAAGTCAAACGTATCACACCAAGACATTTGCAACTTGCAATTCGTGGTGACGAAGAATTGGACAGTCTCATTAAGGCTACTATTGCAGGAGGAGGTATTTTAAAAATTCATTTTTTTCCCCCCTTTTATTTATTTATACATTTTTACAATTTAATTGAAGATATTAATAAATTATTGTTTTGAGAAATTATCAAAAGATTTGTTTAATAAAGGCACTTCTTTTGATAAATTCTCATACATAAATTACAAAATTTCATTTGCAAATTAAATTAATTACTATCTAATGATTTTGTATTTCAAATCTCTCACAATGATTTAAATCTGTTATAGGTGTTATTCCTCACATTCACAAGTCGCTTATTGGTAAGAAGGGCTCTCAAAAACCGGCATAATTTATTAACAATCTCAAGATGAAAGTTTCAATATTAAGTAGGTGGAAAATAATATCAAAGCGACAGTGGTGTCAACAAAGTTGTAAAATACTATTATCTTGGTTTAAATAATTTTTTTGTAAGATTTAAATATAATCTTTTTTATTCAATGATTTCGTAAATTTCAGTTAATATTTAAAAAAAAAAAGAAATGGTTTTGTATAAAATTGTTAAATTTTGAAAATTGTCACTCCACATACAGACCATTGAAATATAAAAATGTTGGCAAGAAGTGACCTTGATTAAACGATGCCAAAACTGTCAGTTCCCGGTAAATTGTAATAATGAATTTTTATAAGTCATGCAAAATCCATCCGACTCGATAAAACAGCAAAAAGTATAATTTACAGTTTATATGTTAAAAGACGAAAAATGCCTTATACAGTATGAGATCAATTATTATTATTTTTAAACTAATAACGCGAATGGGTCAAAAATGTTTTTGCGATTATTATGAATTTTTGGACACGCGACGACAAGACTTCTTGCCACGGATTCCACGCAATTTCTACGACTTTATTGACAATTGGACCCTAACGCACGTATAGATTTGTTACAAAGTGTACCTACACGTTGCTGATTCGAAGGAGAGACAGGCGTGATGAAAAAAAAAAATATATATATATATATAAATATATATACCTAGATATTTAAGTAAGACAAAATATTGATATAATTTAATGTAGGTAATGAAGATTTGAGGAAAAAAAGGGGTTAAAGTGAGATGCAGGAAACAGGAATGAAGCGTTGAAAAATTCAACTGACTTATTTAATATTAGTCAGAATAGTTTGATGTGCGATGCGTTATAGCATGGTGCATTAAAATTGCTATTACTGAGAAAATCATCGTTTCACATTCCGGATAATAATTATTGAAAGATTTGTGAGACAGGTTAATTCTCTTTTTTATTGTTTTGTTAGTTTTTTTGTGACTATAAAAGAGAGCTTCAAGCAACACTTTTTCATTATTTTTTCCAATTGGCATTCATTACCTTCTTTAACTATTTTTTATGTTTTAATTTAATTTTTTTTCTTTGTATTATTGTCACTTTCACAAAAAAAAAAAAAAAAAAAAATTTTTTTTGTTAAAAGCCTGCTCCTTCTCTTCAAAATATTAAAAAAAGCCGCCTTGTCTTTTTCTACGCATACCATAATTTTTTTTTTAAATTCACTTTTTTGTGAGTAAGTCTGTGTTTTGAGCATATTTCAAAATGACTGAGTTGGTTTTTTTTATATATACAATAGTCATATGTGTTTTCAATTTATTTTCATTATAAAAAAAAAAAACACTTAAGATTCTTTTATTAAGAAGCTATAATTAGCCATGTGCAAAGTAAGGTTACAGTATTTTGACATTGCACCGAGTTTTGTATGATGAAACGACGTAATTTTGAAAAAAAAAAAATTGGTAAACAAAAGAAAAACAATAAATCCTGGTTTATTTTATAAGAAAATAAAAAAAAAATGGGTTATTTTTCCGTTTAATTTACAACAAATAAAAGAAAGTGTTTTGCGTTCATGTTAATCAAGAATTTGTATTTTCAAGATCTTTTAAAAATTATTTGCAAATTTCTTTTTTTAATGACAAAACGAAAGATTTGTTTAAAAATGAAAAACCAATTTTTGTTTAAATACCAATTCTTGATTTTAATCACTATAAATATATATATATATATAATAATGTTGTTTGATTTGTGTTCTGTTCAACAATTATTTTATTTTTATGACTTAATTGTTATGCGAGTAGCTTAGTGTAATATCCAAATGTATCTTACCTTAAACACTGGCCATATGTAAGACGTTCATTTTAATGTAATAAAGGTCAATTTTACTATGAAAAAAAAAAATGTAATTTTTCTTCTCTGATATTCCCAATTTTTTCTTTAATTAAAAATTAGTTAATATAAATTTTTTAAAAAGATATCAATTTTATTATAAAAATATTTGAATTCATAAAAAAAGGCGGGAAAATAGGGGTGGAAATTTGAATAGAAAAAAATTTCCCATGATGCTCTGAACAGTGCTGCCACCTTATTAAATGTGGAGTTCCATTTGGTTTTTTTTTTCAGAGTGTATATGAATGCGATGAATGCAAGCAACATGCAACCGACGCCGGGGTTTGAGAACTTGGGAGAAGAGGAAAGTGCTGAACCTACCTCGCCTTACCTCACCCCGCAATAGAGACCCATATTGTGCCGGTGTGTGGTGCGGTTGTGTTTGAAGGCAAGAGAGACTCGTCATTCTCCTTTCCTTTCACAAGTTTGTCCGTTGGGCTGTGGTGTGTTACTCTCTGCGCACGATCGTTTTCAGCGAACTCCGGAGTTTGGTTCGCACACCTTGGGGCGCCTGCTTTACATGAATTTGGTCCATTGGGGTGACAACATATACCCCCGTGAAAACGCGCCACCACCCCAAAGCATCGAATATATTACCAACAGCTACAGTTGGAAACTCAATCTGGACCACGACAGAATGAATCTTGATTAGTGTGACATTTCTCGAACGGTTAATTGTTGGATACCGTACGACGCTGCTGTGTTTTCCCAGGCGAAGCTGCGTGTGTGAGGTTATAATACCAACTTCTTTCTCTGTTGAAGATTAACTGGAATTTTCCAAATAAGAATAGAAAAAGTGATATTTAACAGTATTTTGTGAAAATTTCCCGCGTGTTACAATATTATCGGTGTTTAATCGTGAAAGTATTGGATTTAACCTTGTTTTTTTTTTTTTTTAACACACTGGGTCAGGGGGGCGTTAAGTGTTGAATAATTTGGAAGTTTTATTTTTTTGGTGACCGGAAGTACGAAAAGTAGTGTCATGACTTTTATTTCAAAGTGACTTAAGTGGAGTGACCTTGTGGGAGAAACGTCAAGGGAAGGAATCGAAGATGCTGTCTAGGAACGGAGAAGTTTCCCGGAATAGGTGAGTTTTTTTCTTGTTCATTTTAATAATATAACCTAGATTTATCTTGATCGCACAACTCTTTCGTCATATGTAATTATTTTTCTCTCGTGTGGTATTTCTATTCGGTTTGCATAGTATCATTGCGTGTTTATGCGAAAATTTTATATAGACAAAGGTGAGAATTCGCAACTGGTGAACGCAGTTTGTAGTAATCCTATATACTTTCTGACAATTAAATGTTTATTGCGAAAGGATTTAATTAATAATGTGCGTTGAGAAATTTTAAATGCAATACAAATGTCACTTTTTTTTCGGTTTCTCGAGAGCAAAGTATTTTTATTTGATTTTAATTTGAGGTTATTGCTTCTTGTGATTGTTGTTTTATTGTAACAAATGACATTTTAACTGGGTTTTCTTTTTGACTTCTTTTTCTTTTAATTAAATTATTTTTCTTTTTGTTATACTTGTCGGGGGAGAAGTATTCTTAACCCTTTATTGTTAGTCTACTTTGTTTTGTTTATTTTGTTTTTGTATTATGAGTAACAATCTCTTGTATAATTAAAACTAGAACCGTATTCTTTATTTTTATAATTCTGATTTCAAAGATCTTTTTTACTGCTGATTAAATTATCATTTTTTTATGCAAAATTTTTAAATCCTTGTTTTAATAATTTATTTCATTAAATAATAATAATAATAATTTATTTAATTAAAAAAAAATTTTCCTACCACTATTTCTTAAAGTTAAATTATTAAATTTTAATTGTTAAATTAAATTATTAAAATAACATTTTAAAAAAAGGTTATAAACTTTATCTTCTTGTTTTATTATGGTACTGAATTTTTTTTGTTTGCATTTTTTAATGGCCATAACTTTATTATTCATTCTCATCATCCACATAAAGTTTCGTATTTGAAAAGGGAAGTAAAATATGTAAATTTATGATTAGTGATCAAATTTTTACGTGTTCAGTAGATTAAGTGAAACGTGTAAAAAAAAAAAAAAATTTCTCACATATAAAAAGTTCTTAGCTATATAATCTATAGTATTCTATCACTTGAGATTACTTCCTTGAGAACTTGTAAGACGCTGTTAAAATTTTTAATGAATTTATGTAATTTTAATTTCTGTAGCTATATGTAATTTGATTTATTTTGAAAGGAATTTTTTACAAGACGTGATATGAGCCAAAAGTTTTGAACGTTCAAATGAACAAAATATTTTTTTTAATCTATAAATTATTATAAATTATAACGACAATGTAAAATAAAACAGTAAATTAAACAATTATTAAATTAATAACTTCTTTTTAGATATTTAAAACAATATTTTGTAATAAAATTCATACTTAATGCGAAAAAAATTTTGTTCATTTGAACGTTCAAAACTTTTGGCTCATGACGTGATAAATAATTAAATTTCGCATCAAACGTTATTTTATTATTATTATTATTATTATTATTATTATTATTATTGTTATTATTATCTAAATCTAATATTTTAGAGATATAAATATTTTATGAGATTTTTCATCCTAAAAAAAAAAAATTAATCGGTAGTATTTTTTTCCGAAAAAAATATATTTAAAAAAAAAAAAAAAATTCAAAATACGGAAGGAAATTAAAATGAAAAATAATATCTGAATCTCAATGAAAGAGGCTCTTAAAGTTTGAACACTCCTCGTATTGTAACTGGTTGTTATACCACAGTTATAATTACTTTTATGAACAGCGACAATTTCACTTTACGAAAGTGACGTAACCATTGTTCCGACTTTGAGAGAGGAGGTTTAATGACAGCTTCAAAACCTCTCGAACTTTTAGGACATTTGTGATCAAAATTTTCCCGACGAAAATTGAAAAGGTCCCATATTTAATGAAGTAAAATTTAATTAATTTAATTTTCGAAAATATATGTTACTATATATGAAATTTTGTCGTATGAGAAAACTTTTCAAATAGTATTGTTTTTGAATAAAAGAAAAAAAAAGTTTAGTCAGTAGATTCTATGAGAAAAAGCGTTGGACACTGGTTTTTTAAAAAAAAAAACGAGTTTTAGTTTTGTATTCTCGCTCTTTGAAATTATACATTTTTCGCAATAATCTCGTTATAGGCGCATGGTAAAATCCGCTTCTTTCTAGGCGAGTAATTTATTACTTGACGTAATAAAAGAGTCCGAAATTTTTTTCTACGAGTGAATTTCAAGTTTTCTTCTCTTTTCTAGTGGCTCATTAAATACAATTGTTGGATATTTGTGTGTGTTTTTTTTTCCTCTTTCTTCGTGGAAAGAACATTATCTCGCATGGGAAAGTTTTACCAAAACTTTTTAAAAAAAATAATGTGACTTTTTTATTATTATTATTTTAATGGATATAATTTTTTCCCTTTTCATAAAGAATTATTTTTTTGTATATAGTTCACATGTGTGTACTTCTTGAAGTTTTGTAAAACTTTTTCTATAAAATAATGGTGTTTTTTTTTGTTTGAAATATTTTTATAAAAGGTTGGTTTTTTCTTTGACCTAAAATATTAAGATTTGTGGCTTTTCTTCTGATTTTTGTCTTTTCCTTGAAATTCTTTAACTTTTGTGTATGTGACTCTTGTGTATGGGACGAGTTGAGATAACGGTTAACCTAACGCTTCTGCCTTGTACTGTCGAGTACAGTATTATAAGGAGGGACAAGATACGCGCTTACACGTGCGAGTACAATCTACATGTACAGACAACTTGGTCACGTAGAACGTATGTACTACATACATATATCCATGAAGCATCGATGTCTAGTATATATCAGAAATGTATATCGTCGATGCAGACACTACCATCGTTTATAGTCCGGAAATGGAATCCATACAATCACATGTCAATCTTCACCTATTCATATAGTATTAGAAATGATGATAAATTTATATAGTATAGGAAATTTTAATTTTTATTATATAAATTTAAACTCGCGAGGAATATTAATTTTTTAAAAATATGGTTATTAAAAGTACTTTATTGATCGAAAAGAAAAAGAAGATTATATAAAAACAATATTATTCTTAAAATTGAGAAAATATATATTATTAATGTAATCCCATATATTTTTTTACTAAATTAAAAATAAATATTTCTCTCACTTTGATTTTACATATTTTATTAACATAAATTTTGAATTAACAAATTTATCATTCTGAAACTAATGGAAAATGAAACAATAAAGTAAATGCATTTTACTAAATTATTAATCATTTGTATAAATAATAAATAAAATTTAATCGGTTTTTTGTTTTTGCATCGAATTAAATATTAAATAACTACAATATTTCTTGATAAATCGAAATTATACTAATAGGAATAATTTATTTTCGTAAAAATTATTATTTTCTACTGTAGAAATTATTAATTTTCTATTATAGGTGAAGGGACAAATAAATAATTGAATTCCGTTTTCTAAATATTAGTAAATTGTTAATTTAGTCTGTATTAAGATATTGCAAAAATTTAGTTATTCTTTACTATATGAATATCGTAACATTTTTTTGATCTATTGTATATAAGATAGAGTCTTAAGCTATATGGGATAAGCTTATTATGATTTTCTCTTTTATAGAAAAATATGCGCTAGTGTATAGAAGAGAGACGATAAAATTAGAAAAACATGTTTCGCTGTTACAGCAAAAAGGGTTGAAAGCACGTACACGTTTCACAATTTAAGAGACACGTACATTTTTCGACACAAAGTGTGCGCGCCTAGTCGTAGACTCATAAATGACTCGAATATATGTATATGTATATATAGAACCAGAAAGCAGGATTTTCAATTAGTCTACCACTCTCTTGCATTTATACGTGTTCGCGAAGTTGAGAGAGAGAGAGAGAGAGAGAGAGAGAGAGAGAGAGAGAGAGAGAGAGAGAGAGAGAGAGAGAAAAGAGAAAATAAAAGACAACATGAACTATCCTCATCACCGTGAATCCGCAAGTCTAAGGCTTTCGACATGCTCATAATCTTTTAATTTCCCATGCATGGAACGTATAATCGTTATAGTACTTCAAAGTTTTCCATTTTACGTACAAAGAGGATAGGATATGCGCGCGCGAGAACTAAATCCAAGAATTATCCTAAAATGGCTTTAAAAGCTCATAAAAAAATTCCCTTTTTTTTGTATTTATGTAAAAAAATGTTATATTAAATCTACGATTAAAAAAACCTTATAATTTTTAATTATTTATGTATATATAATAATTAAACATGGGTTTTTTTTAATCGCAAAAAAATAACATTTTTTTAAAATTATTCTCATTTTTTTATAAAAATGTTAATTTTACATTTTTAGTTTTGTATATTTATTTATATACAAAAGAATTATTATCACTACACCGAGAGAAATATTTGATTGTCATTTGTTTGAGAAAAATAAAATTTATTTGAAACAAATAAAAAATATATTTGTCTCAGAGCGTAATAAATTTTTGTTGTTTTAAATTTAAAAAAAATTATTTAAATATTTTATTTAGCGCAAACAAAAAAAAATCATTAGTTAAAATTTTCATTTTAAATAATTTCCTATAATTATTTTTTAGATAAATTTTTATTTTTCGAATTAACATTTGACAGAATTTTTTTGTAAACAAATTTTTACTTGACTGAATTTTTATATATCGAATTTTTATTACACAGAATTCTTAAGACGCCGAATTTTTATTTGTCCGAAATTGCAAATGGCCGAACAAACAATCGATTTCGGCGTGATGTTTAAAAATTCACCAATCAAATGATTATCAAGGAAATCATGATTGGTGGATTTTAAAAATTGCGCCGAAATCGATTGTTTGTTCGGCCATTTGCAATTTCGGACAAATAAAAATTCGGCGTTTTAAGAATTCTACGAAATAAAAACTCGGTGCCTAAAAATTCTGTTAATTAAAATTTTGTTTGAAAAGAAATTCGGACAAATGTTAATTCGAAAAATGAAAATTCGTTTCAAAAATAATTGAATAAAATTGTTGAAAATGAAAATTCTAACTAATGATT